TTTCGGTATTGCTAGATCCACTTGGCAGGCTAAAAAGGGGTTACATGCGGAGGCAACATTCCCATTGTTCCTGCACTTTGTGCGAGGCGCAATCTGCTCCTCACATTTGTTTCTCATTTGCCGTGCACCGGAGCTGCAGAGTTCTCCGAGCTGCGTGTGCCATTCTGGTCAGGAGCGTTCCCGTGTCCGAGCCAGCCGGAGGGATCAGTTTATAGCAGAGCCTAGTGTTTAATTATCTCTCGGCTGCGGCGGCGGCACATGGCTCTGGGTTTCCATATTCCTGGCAGACGTCAGAGCGAAGCCCTCGCTGAGAAAAGTTTTGCAGGCTTCCACGTGGACGACGCCGTCACTGTCTGGAGGCTTTTCTACACGGGGAGGCTGCGGGTGCCCTTGTATTGGGTTTGCATTGCTCCACTTGTCGCTGACCTTGCCGCGGGGCTCGAGGTGGAAGCTCCTGCAGGAACCGCGTAGGTGAGCGCCGATGAAGCTGATCCTTTAAGAAGGTCGATACTCAAAGTGAGTTTTTACTATTTTTACTCTTCCTTGTGTTTCCTCGCTTTGCATCCTTGACAGTTGGAAAGTTGAGGATTAATATAATAGGCTCAGTTCACAAAGCTCACACACCAGGTTAAAGAAGAACTCCGAGGTATTTATAAATGAACCCTTGCAGAGGGGCTACCCCCCACACTCCTCGCTGCAAGGGTTAACTGGTTGTTTTGGTCTAGGGGCAAAAATAAAGAAGATGCACTCACCCGATCCTCCGTCCTGCGGCAGTCACAGAACGCAGATGAAATACGTATGTGAAGGATGTCTTGCGTGCCAAAGGATTTGGAATTTGGCTCGCATACTCCTAAGGTTTAAAGAAGAGCTCAACTTTTTTTCTCACCAAGTAACCCTAATAGTGGGGCTACCCCAACCCCATAAACCCCCCATCCCCAACCACACACACACACTGCAAGGGTTAACTGCTCATTTTGGGTCTAGGGTCTAAAATAAACATACTCACCTGATCCTCTTTCAGCTCTTTCCCCCTCTACACCAGCTGTGGTATATCCCTCTGCGTCCTCACCTCTAATAGACTTGTATTAGAAGTGATGACATCACGGGTTCTTAGACTGCCGGAGCCCAGGGGATAAGAGGCTGCAGGGATCGGTCTAGCAGCCAGATGAGGATCAGGTGAGTATTCATTTTCGCCCCCTAGACAAAATTATCACTTAACCTTTGCTGTGCTGGGGTAGCCCCCTGCAAGGGTTAATTTTTAATAATTCTGGAGTTCTTTTTAAGGATCTTTTTTATTTTCTAAAAAGTGACAGTTATTTTTTAATGGAGTTCAATGAGTTTTGAAACCTGAAGTCACATGGCTCATGTAAAGATTCTAACCCGGGGGTGTTGGCTTTTGTGAATCTAACCTACGGCAGATTCCCCTCTCTCTCACCTCTCTCTGCCCCGGCTGTGATGTGTCCATTGGCGTCCTCGCGTCTGATAGACATGTATTAGACATGATGGGTCAGAGCCAGGGGAGAAGAGGCTGTGGGGACCAGTCTAGCAGCCAGGCAGGAACGAGACTCAGGTAAGTATTTGTTCATTTTCGCCCCCTAGACAAAACGAGCAGTTAACCCCTGGAGTTCCTCTTTCAAGTTTCTTTGGATTTGTTTGTGGTTTCTATTTTCTTTCTGGAATCTGATTCTGGGTACCCTAGTTGGGGTGACCTTGTTAGACAAGATCAGCTATACGGGGTCATTGAGGCTTATAAAATGGTCTGACATCAAGCAATATTGCACCACAGATTATTGGCATTCCATGCACCTCTCTAACACCTATTCTGGACTTTACAGGTCCTCTTTGCAGACCATGTTGCGGGTCCTCTTTGCGGACAGCTTTGCGGGTCCTCTTTGCGGACAGCTTTGCGGGTCCTCTTTGCGGACAGGTTTGCCGGTCCTCTTTGCCGGTCCTCTTTGCCGGTCCTCTTTGCCGGTCCTCTTTGCCGGTCCTCTTTGCCGGTCCTCTTTGCCGGTCCTCTTTGCCGGTCCTCTTTGCCGGTCCTCTTTGCCGGTCCTCTTTGCCGGTCCTCTTTGCCGGTCCTCTTTGCCGGTCCTCTTTGCCGGTCCTCTTTGCCGGTCCTCTTTGCCGGTCCTCTTTGCCGGTCCTCTTTGGAGACAGTGTTGCCGGTCCTCTTTGCAGTCCTCTTTGGAGACAGTGTTGCCAGTCCTCTTTGCAGACCGCTTTGCAGGTCCACTTTGCAGGTCCACTTTGCAGGCACCTTTTGTAGTCGTACATGGAGAAAAGAGATCAATTAGAAATAAATGATCGCACCTTCAAATGATCTTTTCTATGTCTGGTGTGCACATTTCAGCCATATCATTTCCCTATTCCCACCTGTGAGTTAATAGCTTAAAGCTCTGGGATAAACAAATATTGTCTAAATACCAAAGTCATGAGTATTCTGACTTGAGTCTTGATGAGCTTTGTGTATTTCTTCCAGATCTGTGCGGTAATTTAATGTGACACTTAGAGCTTCCTTTAATAAAGACCGCTCACTGCTGCTTTCTCTCCTTATGCAGGGTGACTGGTCTTGTCTCCGCCCCCTCCTGTAGTTTTCTCAAGTGGGTTCGGCCTGCTGGGTAGAGATGAAGGGAATACTCGACAATTACATTTCAACCTATGGATACAATCTATTGTGTTTGGTACACAAAGAATGATTGTGTCATGAAATACAGTACTGCAGCATGTCAGGCTATGATGAATGGATACTCCGTGTGCAAATGGTTGAGCACTAATTTTGGGATTGTGATATGGTTGAACTATCTTTTTTACATTTACAAAGTATCAGGATTCTTAGAAATTACAAATGTCTCTTTTTGTGTTGCTTCAGTGTATCTACTAAATTGCTCCTAAATTTAAACCCAAAAACTACAATGTAATATATTGCAGATTACCAATCCTTAGATGTGGTGGCTGCATTCGTTCTCTTTTTTTCAGGCTAAGAACACTTTCAGCATAGAACATTATCTATTACTACGACAGAAATCCAGTGTCCTTGTCACTTCCTGTGCACTGAACTAAAACCTCAATATTATCAGCTTTCACATGCATCATTGGCGGACTACAGAGCACCACCTTTCTATATCATTGAGAAGAGGAGGGGTTGTTTGTAGCACATATCAGGAGCACAGCCAAGGGTGACAACGTTGCTCCTCAGATACAGTGCACGGAGTGAATGTTATCACCCTAGGACAGAAAGTACGGTACTAGCAGGATCTCTAGGTGAAAATAAAGGGTAACACTAAACAAATGCAGCCACCGTGTTTAAAAAGAAACTCCCAGTTATTTTAAACCTTAACCTTAGGGTGGTATCACCACTGCAAGAGTTAACTGCTCGTTTTATGATTATTATTATTCAGGATTTATATAGCGCCAACAGTTTGTGCAGCGCTTTACAATATAAGGAAGACATTACAATCACAATACAATACAAGACAAGATGGTAAGGAGGGCCCTGCCCATGAGGGCTTACAATCTAAAAGTTTTGGTCTAGGGGCTGGAATACAGAAGATATACTCACCTGATCCTCCGTGCTGAGCACTCACCTCTCTTTCTTTCCCTCCGCTTTGGATGGGGTATGTCCCTCAGCGTCTTCACATCTACTGCAGGTGAATAGACCTGCATTAGATATGGTGATGTCACAGGTAGGGTTACTCTTTACTTTCACCTGCTAGTAATGTAATTCCCTAGTCACTTTATGGACTGGTAAGCTTCAATATTATAATTTTGTTTTTGACTTGCTTTAATCTGTCATTCGATTGTAAAGGATCCGTAAGCCCAAAAGTGCCCATCCCCAGGACAATTCTCAGTTAACACATGTTATTTTGGATGTTTCAATGTATAGGCTTCACCCAACATTCAAGACTGGTGGATATCCACTTGGCTATTGAATGGTCAATATACATAGTACAAGATTCCCGTAACTATTCAAGGCCAGAATCCCAATCCAGTATTTTTGGCTGGATGAGGTGACCCTCCAGTGTCTATGGGGATGTGCACAACAGCCACAAACAAGCAGTTTCAGGGAACTGGAATGTTTTTTGTGACTAAAGTGTTCCAGCCTAGGGGAGAAAGTGGCCAAGAAGACATTATTTGGCCAGCTGTAGGCTGATAACTCTAACAGAATCCAAGAAGATGCAAGACCCATAAGAAACCTAAAAAAAGAAGTGCCCGGAGCAAATAGTATGAAGGATATAGCAGGTGTAGGGGCCACATGACGGGGTTAAATGGGTACCAAACAGCTTTTGAGGTAAAGAAAAAGAAGATAAGATGGTCTACTTCCTGATTGACTTAGGAGGTCTCTCCTACCTGAGAATCAATCAGCGGGGAGGAGCAGGACAGTGGCAATCTCTGGATGACCACCATCCAAAGAGCTTCCCACCCTGAAATTTGTTTCCTGTTGTTATTTATACTTTGCTTTTAGCCTGTCACGAAGGCTAACATTTAGTTTAAAGATCTTTGAAGGCATTAATTTGTGTAAAGGGTGGGTGGAGACCCTTCTGAGGTACGGCATCCCGTGTAAGTGTGGCCCAGTTGTTGAGACCCAAGATTGATGTACGGATGGGAATTCTGGAGTAGCTTTCTGTAATCATCCCCAAGGCGGTGTGGTGAGGTTGGGGTCCTGCCAAGTTACAGGATTCGGGCCACACATACATAGAGAGTCTTTTTATCTGTGCTCTTGTCAGATGTTTCTGGTACCTTCAAGGACCATCAACCATCCTTTTTGTTATTTATTGGATTTTTTTTTTTATTTAAGTAGATGGCTACTATGGTCATTAAATTCCAGTTTTGCGTGGTCTCAGTACATTCTTGGTGAATACAGGTAGTAAACAGTGGATATGGCCTAATGATAGTAGTGGTGGGCTCCCTCTGGAATGTCATTGTCATGTGATGCAAATCCTAAATGCAACAGAACCCTTTTCTGAAACTTGAATCTATAATCTTGTTCTATTTCATAGGAGCTTTTGAGCCGGACGTCCCTTGAAACCCAAAAGCTGGACCTGATGGCAGATGTCTCAGACCTAAAGATAAAGCTGGTTGGTTTGGAAAAAGAGAAGACTGACTGTGAAGACTCTCATAACAAGGCAGAGGTTGGTGAACACACACATACTTGCTGACGTATAGTTATATATATATATATATATATATATGTGTACACACATGAACATCTGTTGGGCTTTGCTTGATCAGAGCTTTGTAAACTTGTCACCCGACTCCTGCTGTACCTCCTCCCAACCGTGCAGCACCACTCTGTGTATGTGATCATAGCTATTCTCAGAGCTGCGGTTCAGCTGCATCTGAAAATTTCCCCTCCGTACCTTTTAATTTAAAGTATACTTGTCATAAAGGGAATTCAGAGGCTGCCAGTGCTGACCTTCTTCTGAATATGTTAAGTGTCTGGCTGTACTGTTTTCTCTAATACTGACCCAGGACAAGCATTCGGAACGTGGATCAGAGAAAAAAAGTCTGAACCCCTGATGTGCACACATGTACTAAGTCATTGTCTTAGAAAGATCAGGTAGCCAGACAACTACCGTTTTTAGAACAAGGTCAGCAAGGTCAGCAAGACCGTATTCCTCTCATGGTGGATTTCCTTTCACCACATATTTACTGCCCTATGTTTATGAATGATGAAGTGATGGACGTTATGAGAACACCTTAGGGTGTGCCCTACTCTGGCACTGTTGGATCGATCTTCGGACCTCGGCGCTCTTCCACGCTGCTGCCATCTCCGCCACCGTCACTTCGGGGTTCTCGGAAGTCCTCTTCACAATTGGGTGATTCTATAACTCCTGCACATGCACACAGGATTGACATTCTCCCGGCACCTGGCCCATTCACAGCATCTTCTAGAAGCATTCCAGAAAAATAAATAATTTACTTTAGCGTATTCATAAGCAGCCTAAAAAGATGTTGATCAATCCAGCTATCCTTTATGATGCTGTTGACTGGCCAGTGTTGGGAGAAACAACTAGGTGCAACACTCCAAAGGTTTAGCATCCCAAGAGTCTATAATACATCATAATGGTCCAAACAAAGGCAAGCATGCAATATTTCCAGAGCTGTAATAATCTCCCTATATTATGGCTTTAACTGTTGTGAATGGAGTGGTGAACTCATAAGGTTTATTAGAAGGTGATTTAAACTTGAATGTACTGTAGACTATCTTTTTTACTCTTGGGTCTATTTAACCCATGGGTTCACATTAAAGGAGAACTATGGGGTCAGTGTTTTTCCCCATAGTTCTCCTTAGGGTAACGGGAGGACACAAACTAGCGTCCTCCCGTTACCCTAAGCTCAGTATAACGCGAGCTACAGCTCGCGGTATACTGAGACGCCGGAGCGGACCCCGACTTAGACGACGGGATCCGCCCAGCTGCGTGAGTGACAGCTGGCTCTGCCTATCTAGAGGCTGTACCCGCCCCCTCCCCCGTCCGTTCCGCCAGTCAGCGCTGGCAGATCGGAGCGGGGAGAGGGGAATCCGTGATAGGATCGAGAGGTGAGCGAACCCGGTATGTGTTCGCTCACCTCCCGATCTACTGAGCCGACCTGTGACAGTCTCATTGGCACAGGTCGGCTAGAACTATGAGGTGAGTGAAAAGCACTCACCTCCATAGTTCTCCTTTTAAACCTCAGTTTTGGATAGACTGATACATTATCATCCAACCAATAGCTGTATAGAAAGATATAGATACAGATCTATATATAGATATATATAAAACCTAATGGGATTGCATGCCCTGCTAGAAAATCAAATGTTCATACTATTTGATCCCCCTCCTAGTTTTGCTATATGGCTTCATAGGCAACAAGGTTGACAACACTTTTCAGAACCTGCAAATCTTCATAATGCCATGCCATTACCCAGCCTCCTATCTTCTCTTTGATATGCTAGTGAACGTGATAACCATCCCAAGCTCCTCTGACAACACGTCTATGAACTGTTTCCTCTGGCTCATCATCATGGCATAACAAAATAGACACTCCGCTGTTTTTAATTCTTAGCCAGCATATAGACACTCAACAGATTTAAGGCACTAGCTAGACTGAAAAGTGACTTTTAAAGGAATATGTAAAAGATCTAAAGGGTATTTTTATCTGTTTGCTAGGAGTAGTCCTTTGATGTGATTAGGCCATGCAGCAGGTGCTTATTTGTATTCATGTCCGGCATGTTTTGCAGTCCCAGCATATGGAGAATGGTTGGTCTTCATACATGAACCTGTTAGTTTTCCTTGGCCGATAGAATGCAGAGATAACACTGTGCAGTGTACAGGATCCTGCTGAGTTGGGCTATTCATTGAGATCCCTCTCAAGATTGTGGTTACGTCAAGCATGCATACCACTTTGCAGCTGTGTAATGCCTTTTATGTGCGAGTAACAAACACTCATCCCTGTAAAGTTCTCTTCAATGCCACTTTTCATCAACTTGTCATGTGCCAATGCTATCTTTACATATTAATGTATGTGTAACCAGACCTCATTTTACAAAGAAGTTGTGTTATGTTCAGGCAAGTGGAATGCACGCTGCACATGTATCAGATCAGTTTTTATTTAAATACAGTAATACCTTGGTTTACGAGCATAATTCGTTCCGGAAGCATGCTTGTAATCCAAAGCGCTTGTATATCAAAGCGAATTTCCCCATAGGAAATAATGGAAATTCAGATGATTCGTTCCACAACCCAAAAATATTCATGTACAATACAGTACTGTAATATAATACTCTACAAAATATAAAAGAAAAATAAACCAATTACCGGTACCTTCGTGGCTGGTGTGAGGGGGACAAGAGAGAAGGATTATTGTGTAGGACGACTTTCACTGTCACTAACAGAATCACTCCTATCTCTTGACTAAATGGAATATTTGTCATTTCGTGAAACCTTAACAAGGAATCTATCCAATGTGACATTGCATTGTCGTTAAACAGACTCATCGCTCGCACTGCTACAGCCTTATTCGGTGGTGCTTTTCTAAAAAATTTTGCTCTTATTGAAAGACATTTGCTTGTATATCAAGGCAACATTTTTCAGAAATGTTTGCTTGTCTTGCAAAACACTCTCAAACCAAGTTACTTGTAAACCAAGGTATTACTGTAAAGGTAAATCTTTCTGTAGTTTGGTGTAGCAAACCATAGAGATCTACAACCACTTTGTAAAATGTACAGTAAATTAGGCTGTAAGGCATTTACACTCCACAGACCCATTTTGGTGTAACCCAATGATATGTTCTAAATGTGTAGATTTCACAACCAATTTACTGACAGCATTTCTGCCTTTTAAAATCAAGGCAATGAATCATTGCTCTGCTTGAGTTGCCTCCCAGGCAAAATGCTAGAAATTTTTTTTATAGTAGGAGAGGTTCAGTTGGAGCAAGCTAAAATATGAAAACATGTCCTCCTGCAAAACGAGAGAGAGAGAGAGAGAGAGAGATAATCATGCTCGACATTTATGTGGCCTGTTTAAAGGACAACGACCAAATCAAGTGCCCCCTCCATTACATTAAAAATTAACCCTTGCATGAGAGAGAGAGAGAGAGAGAACACAATTATATTGAAGAGTGCACCAATGATGCTACTTTTGCAAAGCATTCTAATTTTTCTAAACAGGGAGCAGAGTGGTAGTTTTTGCTCTGGTGAATCATTTCTCTCTGATTTTTCATATAACACTTATGAATGGGGTGGGGGTTTCACTTACCTAACTCACTTACTCAGCTGTGTGTACATGAGCTCCAACCATTCAGCACTGTATATAATATTTTGAGATAAGCAGTGAAAGCCCAGTTGATTTTTCAATTTATATCCACTAAATGCATTCCAGGTAATTCAAGACAACAGGTGTGCAAAGTCAGTTTGTGATCTTTATCAGCCACAACCTGAGAAGAAAAGCCTGCACCCTGCCAGCATGCTGCAGAGAAGGACCCTTGCTCTCTGTGTGGGTGTAGTGGTTGCTTGGCAGAGGTCCAACTTGCTCCTTGCTAAGTTAGATCTATGGCTCTGCCATCAGCAGGAGCACATATGTTTCCTGCTGATAGGAGAGTTCAAGCTCAAACTTAGCAAGGGGTGTGTCAGGCCTCTGCAGGGGGACCACTGCTTCCACACAGAGAGCAAGGGTGCTTCTCTACATCATGCTGGTATTGGGGCAGGCTGAACTGTAAGACCTTTTTTGTTTTGATGCAATGTAATCTAAAAAGTTCAGTTAAGATTTTCCTGGTAACCATGTAATGGGGGGTTTGCGTCTGCACCTGGATTATGTCCCCTGACAAAAATAAAATAAAAAATGTCCCCACACGTGATTAATAAAAAAACATATATAAGCTTACATTCATGTAGGTACCCAAAATTTGCTAAATTGAATAGAACGCGGTTTAGATACAGCAACTATAATGTTCATAGAACTGAAGATTACATGGGGTTATGCAGCTCTGTGAACTCCCAATCATCCCCTCCGACCAAGTATTCTCAAGAACGGCAGCCCTGAATGATGATGATGGATGATCAGGGAACAAGTCAGGGACAGGAAGTGTCAGCAACCATTAAGATCCGCTTCTCCATTTTATCTGTGTCTCTCTGGTGCACATGTACAATGTATTATGGTTCTCTTACTTTCAGGAAGGAGCTTGCTATAAACTTTCTCTTCCCTCTTTACAGTCTGTAGTCAATATGATAAATGAGCTCCAGGAACAAATGTGCAAACTACAGCAGGAGATCAATAATAAAATCCAAGAGAGGGAGGAGACCCAGGCTAGCCTGCCTAACTTGACTGAGCCTCTCCAAGTCAACGTGATTGAACTGATTGAACCTCCACAGCCCATGAAGTGCCCGGGTTGTGAGGGAAAGGATGTATGAGAAGTATTGTGCACCTTGCATGAGACTAGACTGGGGTGCGTACTAATGCTCTGCAAGTAAGCATGGAACAAAATGGCAGACAAACAGGGCTATTTGAAACACATTGGTTGGGGTACTAAAACATTGATAGGAGTATAAAGAAACCACATACAATCTAAATAGTGTAAGTCCAATGCCACTCAAAACTCTTTTAATTTTATGTGGCTGTCGGCAAGTTGACACATATGGGAGCCTTTTATTAAGAAGTCTGCTGCAGTAATGAGAGATCTCCTCTGAATCTGCAAGTACTGCTAAAATGCATTAGCTGTTATAATTTAAAATATTACATTCACCCCCTCCCCAATTGCTAGTGTAGCACCATCTTCACCTCCTCCCCGATTGCTAGTGTAGCACCCCCTTGACCCTCAGAGGCCTGAGTTGGACCCTCAAAGGGCTAACCTTTCGCTCTCAGGGGCAAACCCTTAGCCAATGAAGGGATATGTGATCAAAGAAGTTGGGTGCCATTCACTTTACGTGCCTATTCAAATGCTTTATTGTAGAACATCAACTGGGAGAGAGGGTGAAGGGCTTAGGACATCCATGGCAAAAATAGGAAATACTCCAGACTCACCAGTCCCTTTCAGTCTTCCACAGCGCAGAATCAATAGGAGAACAGACTAATGCCAGACTTGCTCCTGAGGTCCATACCAGTACCAGGCACCTCTAGTAGCCATTCAGCTTCTCTGGTTCTCTTCCACAACCAAGGTCCACAAGTGTGGCCTCTTTCAGGCTTGAGGCCTAGTAAGCATCTCATCTTTAAGCACCCCAGGCTAAGCCCGGGGGCAGGCTGGAACTGAGCACATGGCAATTCCCCTGAGTGTATATATGCACTCCTCCAGCATGCACCAATGGCCATAAGACCCCCAGGGATTGGCACACACATACTCATAATGTCCTCCCATTGGTTGCCCAACACTGCAGCAGAGTCACACCCCACTTAGGCAGGTACAATCAATAGCAGAACACATGGAATTAACCAGATAATAGCCAGCTATACGTCAGCCAGACAGATTACAGCTCTATCAATGCTAAATTCCTTGTAGCCAATCCACAGAAGGTGGTAAGGGCTACACTAGTAATATGGAATAAACAAATAATAGGCGAGTCCAGCTATGAGAACATTTGTTATGGTCTTCTGAGGAGATAGAGATGCCAACTGCCAATGGAAAGTCTTCTTGCTGGAGGCTCTGGAAGGTCTAAAAAGCCATTATGTGATTCCATCAACGTGTGTTCAGGTGGATTACATACATGACCCTACCACCTACCACCATGTTTCTAATGGAAGATCTGTAATCAAGTATGCTAGTTTACATCGGGCAAATAAGCATGTTTCTACCTATGGAGGGGGAAGGGGGAGCAATGTGACCACTGTCTTGTATTAAACAGTGACTTGCTGGGAAAATGCATGCCAGCCTATAATTTTATTCTCAAGCAGACTCAACCAGGAAACATTGGCAAGGATCATAGCAGGGTCTACAAACATACCAACGTTTGCCACTCTGACCATAAACAGCCAATCTGCAAGAACATTCTATAGCATTCTGTAGGCACTATCTTCTTTCTTTACTGCTCTGCAGATGACGCAAAGGGCTGTTGGGCTTCACAATTTAGGAACACCTGAGCTCTAATACCAGATTCCACCAGCAGGTGGATACAATGGTAAACTTGCAGATCTGGGACCAAACAAAACTGGATTGCTATTTAAAGGAGAACTATGGGGTCAGGGCTTTTCCCCATAGTTCTCAGGGTTACGGGAGGACACAAACTAGCGTCCTCCCGTTACCCTAAGCTCAGTATACCGTGAGCTACAGCTCGCGGTATACTGAGACGCCGGAGCGGATCCCGACATCGATGTCGAGATCCGCCCAGCTGCGTGAGTGACAGCTGGCTCTGCCTATCTAGAGGCAGAGCCAGCTGTACCCGCCGCCTCCCCCGTCCGATCCGCCAGACAGCAGAGAGCCGTGACAGGATCGAGAGGTGAGCGAACGCCGGTATATGTTCGCTCACCTCCCGATCTACTGAGCCGACCTGTGACAGTCTCATTGTCATAGGTCGGCTAGAACTATGAGGTGAGTGAAAAGCACTCACCTCATAGTTCTCCTTTAAGACCAGAAGCCACTACATATTGCTTTGCAGAAAAGTCCAAAACAACAACTTTTTTTTTGAGAGCGCTCCTAAATGTGCAATAGGTCAGTCATTAATTGTAGCCAAAAGCAGTGCAATATAAAGGGCCTCCTACTGGGCTTAATTTAAACAGATTTATTAAGCTGGCCATACACCTTACAATTATCTGGAGATTTTCTATGGTCAGACGGAAAAGGTGCAACAGATTCCTCCATCTACGCTAAACTGTGTGGATGGAATAATCTCCACCTGGGCCAATCTCTTGCACTTTTTCCATCTGACCACAGAAAATCTGCAGATAATTGTAGGGTGTATGGACACCTTTAGGCTGTACCCACCCATCAATGGTTTATTTATATTGAAACCAAATCATATGGCATGTGCCTTACTTTAATTGAATACTAATAATATAGTGTAAATGCAGTTCCTCAGTGAATCATCATTTGGGCTGGTGATTGGTTCAGCCCAAAAGGATGTCCTTTTCTCAGTGAGCCGTGGGTAAAAACAAAGCTATCACCCTTAGCAGCCAATAAGAACTAATCTGTGACCTGTAAGTATATTTACTCACCTTCAGCTAATATTGCATTGTGCTGACTTGGTTGACATAGTCAGACTGACATTGTAAGTTACTAACAATGTGTGATTATCAATGAAATTTCAAATTCTGTAAATGTGCATTACTTAGCACTTAACTTTTGTCGTAATTGCTTGTACTGCTGTGATTTGCACTTTTGAGTTTCTTTAACACATTTCACGATATAGGGATGACAAAGAAGTAGTATAGTCATTTATACAATGCTGGTTTCTGTCTAAAAATCGTTAACCATAGACAATAGCAGACTAATCGCCCAGCCCTTCATTTCAGGTAGGAAGGTTTCAATATTTCCAGTAAGACACAATGGATGCATCAGTCTTTACAGAATTCACAAAGCACGTTTTAAATGAAACCTACCACATCCAACTAGTATTAAAAGCTAAACTTATGGGTCGAATTCCCTTTTATGTCCATTGAGTTGGTGTGTTTACCTCCCAGCACATTTAGAGCCCGTGTCAATGGGCTTTTATTCTATTCAGAACTCCTTATCTCTCCATACTAATCTATGGGAATGCAAAATCAGCTGAAACAGATCAAAGGCAGGACAACTGCACCCACAATGAATTCTGAATTTTCCCAGAAGCACCTGAAACTGATGTTAAAAGCTTGCTGCATTTGCCTGTGTGCATGTATGCTTGCTCCCACTTGTGGTTGTGCCATCGTGGGTTCTTTAAATTGTCAACAGTAAAGGGCATAGATCTTACCCCCTTTGTGCAGAATTCACTGCCAAATGGAGAATAGCACAGTAGAGCCTACTTAAAACAAAAAGAATATGCATGTTTCACAAATCCAAAAAAGTAAGGGGCTTATTCTAAGACGGTGGAGCCATGCCAGGTTGCATATACTGCACTAGTCCTGGTCAACAATCCTGGAACGGCTGCAGTATTTGGAACAAATTTAACATTCAGCTGTATCAGCAGCGATTCTGGTTGCACACTAGGTGAAGCATAGGAAGGAGAGCCTGAAATGATTGAAAGGTTGAGCCATGGAAGAAATGAATTGCATGTATCAACCCACTATCCTAAATGAGGAATAAATCCCATTATTTTTAGGATTTATGATGACAGGCAGACATACCCTTAGATTCTCTTTTTGGAAGGCTCTACTGTGTTTTGTATTGGCTTAATAGAGGATTCTGGGCTCCTTTTAGCCAAACTCACCATAACCTGCCTTTTTTTTTTTTTCACTGCTAAATACATATACCTCTTACTAATTAAAATTGTAAGAAGAATTGTAGAATTGCAAAGCATTCAACCTTCTACCCTTAAGCCATTGCCCCACAAATTAATGAGAGCAGTTCAAAACTGAAGTCAAGGCCTCAGTTCAAATTTTAAGCTCCATCATTATTCTGTATTCTTAATATTATAAAAAATACCACAGTATGAAAATAATAAAACCTTAACACCGTAATGACAGCGATTGTACTGGGATATACAGTTTGTCAGCAACTTCAGGCCTGCATGTTGGTCTACCTTGACAGACAGGTGGAGTTCTGATGCTGAAGATTCCAGTGTTCGTGTTTTCAGGCATCTCTCTTTAGCAATAAATGTCAATTTAAGTTGTAGACAGAACCTGATCTCTCCTCCAGGGTGGTTTATCTGCTCGTGAAGTAGCAGATAACATGTTTATGTTGCCTGGAGCTACTCATGGACTTGCCAAGACATCTGCTCTGCTTTTACATATACTGCTATGATCGTGCAGAGTTGGGTGGGATTGCTTCTTATCAGTGAATAGCATCAGATTCAAGTGCAGACAGGCCAGCTGAACTTGAACCATGTGATGACGCTTTAGTGTTGACTTGGTGTTTACTGCATGAGTTTGTCAGTGTGTGTCAGTGAGCATTCAGAGTTCTGCACCTGTGTGGCGTGGCTAGATGTGAAGGTCCTTCTTCTAATCATGGCCTATTTGTCTTGGTCTTTTTCACAGATGCTGCTACAAGAACTGAAATGCCTCAAAATAAAAGTGGACGAACTGGAAAATGAGAGGGTACAATATGAATGGAAACTTAAAGCAACAATGGTGGGTCAAATGTTTTGTTGTTTTTAGCTGGTGGTGGTTCTATGTTAACTCGTCGGTTCTTTTTCATTTTTTTTACTATGCACAACTCCTATCTTTTGCCATTTTTATGACTATTTTGCATTTGTAAAACCTATTTACATCTGTGCACTGTTGGAACATGTAATTGCTATGCTATGGGTTTTAGTCAGAGATGTCAAGTTCTGTCTTGGCACTAGGAATGACGGACAGTTTTTTGCAGACATTTCTCATGTCAGATTGTCTAATCATGATGTTTTCCTTGCTGTTATGTCAGCAGTGCTGTCTGACCCACCTTGTGCCCCCTTAATATTACATTCCTATTGAGGTCTGGTTAGTCTACAGAATGGCCTGACACTACACCCAACACTGAGCTTAATAGCATGACTCTTAAAAGTGCTTTACCAGTAGACCCTGGTGAACCCTCATATTTATAGGCTTCCTGTGCAGTAATATGTCCCTGATGACACTTTTTTTTCCCCAGAAGTTTAGATGAACAAGACCATGTTAATTATACTGGATTACCTTTTTCTAAGTCTACACTTGAAATCAAAGAGACTTGCATGCCTGAATTTATAAAACATTATCTTTTAGGCTGAAATTGCACAACTACAGGAACAACTTGCATTAAAAGATGCTGAAATAGAACGTCTGCAGAGTCAGATAACTTCAAGAACCGTTGCACAAAATGAATCCTCAGAAAGAGGTAGATGATTACTTTTCCTAATTAACTTTCTAATTAATATAAGGCTGCATGGAACATAATGTGCCTTTTTAGTGTGCTTTTATTAGTAACAACATTTTTTAATGGATTCCACTTTGGTCCTTTAATTGTTTGTTCTTTATTGGTTTTACACTGGTTTCATTAGTTTGTTTTTCCATGTATATATGTGTATGTATAAATATATATTCTAGATTTTTAGGAAGGGTTAGAACCTATGTTAGGTTATTATTATGTCCTTATTGGCACCACAATACCTGTATGTTACAGAGACACAACTGGAGGTGAAAGGGAATCCTTCCTTTGACAATTTTTACTAGAACAGTTGTACCTATTGGGTGATTATCCTTTTTTACCCCTTCCCAGAGACACCGGTAGCAAAAAAAACGAACAGGTCTTCTAACCCTTCTTTGCTTTGGCAAGTAATAAATATTGCTGGAATGGCAATTTAATGGAGGGCATCTTAGCTCCAGTTTTTTTCTTTTTTTTTTTTTTCCTTTTTGATCATTTTTTAAACTGCTCTCGGCTCAGGTGGGTCTTCGCCATTCCTCATATTTCAAAAACTGTCAAATGTTTAGCGACCAGGAGGTGATAACAGGGGAGAATGAGAGGAAGGTTAAGGGAGAAAGGTTGACCGTATGGGTAATAGACCACAGAGGGAGGCCATTGTTTCCCCTAACTACCTCATTGCCCATCTAATAAAAGGTTTAGGATAAAATTGCAGGCATCATTTTAAGCAAAGAAAGTAGAAAGGGCTGTATGACCAGTGACAAATTACATTCACTGATGGGCCTTATTGACCCACTTATGCTGTATACAGAAATAAGGTAAAAAGTCACCCTCTATAGCAATTTGTTTATCTACATCTTGTTAGAAATATCTCACCTAGGAAACCTAGCTAGTTTTCAGATGACATGTTTCATATGCAAGTAGTTTCTGAAGGTTGGAATTGTCCCTTTTTAAAGTGGACCTTGTATACAAATGCAAGGCCCTCTTCTTTAGTAGCTAAAGAAAAAGTAAGTTAAACATTAGAAGAAGAAAGTATGAATATATACCTCACCCCGACCTTCCATGAGCTCTCTTGAGTGCGGATGATATCAATGGGCTTTTTCCAGGATGCTGATGCTCCCAAATTTCAGAAGTCACTCCTGTGACTTGCAGGCAGAAACCTCTTGTCGCAGGATTTGGGATCTTCAGCTTTCCCAAGATCCCAGGAGAAGGCCTAGTGGTGTCACCTTTACCTACACCCTCTTCACTCTTCTGTAGAAAAGGGTCTTCAAAAGAAGTAGATCTTGAATTTGAATGCAAGAACTGAACTCTGCCCAAAAAATTGGGCAAGCAAGCAGGCAGAAGGCAAATGACTAGTTACCAGCATTACCTGTAGTCTCTCTGCAGCTGATTCTTGTCCCCATTACTGACTTGTCATGCCCTGTTCTGCACTGTGTTCCTGTGTGGAGGCCGCCATCTTGGTAGAGGCAGGGCTTTCCCAACTCATGTCAACCCTCAAGGAGGACCATGAGCAGTACAGTAGTGATCTCACCAAATCTCACTCCAAATCTCCCAAGACTAGTAGTCAGAGGCAGAAGAACCTAAAAGTCACACTGCAGATATACAGCTATGAGGTTATAGTCACAAGACTGCCTAGGCACACTCGCATACCAGGAAGTACACTGATATTTTTTCAGGAGGAATTCCAGACTAAAGGTACATCTTGCAGGGTACTGTTTTTTTTTTCCCCACTATTAACACTTCTAGAAGTTCCCTTTTTAATATAGTAAATCTCCACTTTTTGAGTTCAGTTCCACTTTAAGTGCTTTTCCATCAATACTCTAATATGTGAATATTTGAACAATACCGTAAGAGATCATATAAGAAGAGTGAGCAATGCATATTTAGATAAAAATGTAACTTTGCATCTATTTGCTTTCTTTACCATCTCCCATCACATAGAAGAAGTATTTAGGAGGAGGATTAAAGAGAAACGTAAGCCATTGTCATTTTTTTTATTCTTGTCCAGCACTGTTGTTTGTAATGCTACATTGTTGCAACAGCCTTTGTCCCGTGTCACTGATTGCAAATTACTAGCAGCGAGCAGACCGCTAACATCGTCTCAGTGCTTCCGTTTGTCTACCCTTACTTGCCCTGAATCTGCTAAATCACTTAATTAATTGGTGGTTGAATTAAGGTTTTGGATTTCAGACATTGGAGTGGGCAAGACTGTCTGTTTGTTGTATATGTTGCCTGCTGTTTGGGTGGTGATTGTGAATTGGACTTTACAACCTGCCTCCTGCTGCGCAAATCAGATCTGTGAACGATGACCTGAATAATGTGGACAACTGCAGATCATTGCTGTTTTATGTTGCATTATGCATTATGTGGCCTTCATATAATAAGAGAGAACAAATTGCAGAATCCCATAGCAATCACAGATCAGCCCTGACCAGTGTTGTGCAGATAAAGCCATGATGGGTAGATTTACAGGTTTCGATTGATAGATGTATATATATTTACAGGCACATTAAAACATTCTTTCTGGCCCGAATTATGTAAATGTTGAGTCAGTTGACCATTTACAATTCTGCATAAATTATTTAAAAGGTCTATCCACCCTAAAGGAATCGATGGCGGGTTAGGTCACCAGGTAGCTTCTTATATCTCTGAATGAGTCCTGCAGCGTAATCTTACAGCCATAGTACCTCACCCTATTCACAATGACTTTAAGGTCTTACTCTTCTAGATGCAACAGAAGTGTTCCAAGTCTTCCTGCTGTATTCTCCAAGTGATCAAATAGAAAATGTAACAAGGAAAGTTGGAAATTCTTTGTAACTGCAGCACATGTATAGGCTGGAGAAATTATATGTGGAGATCTCACCTCCAGAGTCACTGAGAACCTGTTAGGTGATTTTTAGCTTTCCAGGACACAACCATTTTGGGCAGAATGACCTTTCAAGGCTTTTCTTAAAAGCAGATATGACATGCGGAGAATTGTTGGTTCTCAATGACCAACGGGCTGGTAATGCATAGGTTACCTTCAGTACTGTGAGCACAGCACATGCACAGTCTTATGAAATTGTATGCCAAGATCTCACCTTCTGGCACACTAAGAACTTGTTAGGCAATTTATCTTTCCAGAACACACCAACTTTGGACATACTGACAAGGCTCTTCAAGGCTCTTAAAAGCACATATGACATGCTACAAATTATAGTTTCTCAACGACCAACGGGCCTAGTCTCCAGCACTGTGCACTCATAGAAGGCATGTCTTAACCTTTTGGACATGTTTGACTCATCTGATGATTTTTTTCACACTGCTGATTCCAGTTCAAGGAAGGTTGTCACTGGAACCTTTGTGGTGTTTAGTTTTTGCTATTGGCTTTTATTTCTATGGAAGTGCTTTTTTGGGAATCTTGATTGGATTTTAGATTTTTTGGAAGTCAAGAATGTATTGACAGTGATGTTTTCCCATATCCTATGATATATAATTGTAAGAATAGCTTGACTTTTAGTAGTTATTCTTTAAATTCCTGTATGGCTTCCAGCAGGTTGCATGTGGCTGCCCACATGGGTATAGAAACAGATAAATATAAAAGGGGCCACACATGTATTGATATGATCATTCAAATGATCATTTGATGTGACTAAAATTCTCAAATTGAATAAGAATTGTAAGTCATAGGGGGTGATTTACTAACCTAAACACACTCACGCACCAGTTGTGTGTGCATTTTTACACAGCAAAACGTATATCAACCAAACACGAGCAACGTGTCACATTTTCACGCCGTTATGGCGCGTTTTTATGTATTTACGTACGTGCGCGTCATGTAGCATGCGCCATAGGCTACACGCTCTAATAGCGGCATGCAAGTCTCTAAAAGCATATTTCCACTAATGCCATATATGGAAAAATCATGCACATGATGCATATATAATGCTGCTTCACCTCTATGCCTACAACCATCCCAAAAAACACTTTGAAAATGCTAAAAACAGTATTCAAAAATATGGAACTTACACACCACTGACGTGTTCAGCTCTGTATGAGCCAACTGCACATGTGTGGAGGCAAGTTCACACGCTTCTTAAGCCCAGAAACATGAGCACGCCAATTCTTCACAATTTCTTGGTAAATTTGAATAGCAGCGTGTTCACGCGCGACTATTATTCCAACCATTCTGTACTGTTCAGAGGTGTTTGTTTTTCGAAAGCTTATTTCCTCTTGGCAGTTTTTAAGTGTTCCTCATTCCACTTATGGAGAGACTTTCATTATTTTTTGCACTACCTAAATAATGTCCCAAAAACATGAGTGCATCACAGTTTAGACAAAAATGGTTAGCTCATGCATTTACATTCCTGCATTCATCAACGCAAGCAACACAACGCAGAGCTAATTTAAACATCACCTTGCAATTCATGCAGGGCTTTGCACAACACCCCTGCTGGGTGTGTACACACTACAAAGGTGTCTAGATTCCACTAATAGATCATGCTGGGAGGGAACACACTACAGAGGTGTATACTTGTTCATGGCGTGTTTATAAGGTTAGTAAATCAACTCCATACTCTTCAACTGATTTTGGCTCTGGCAATTCAGTTGGTTTTGTCAGACTTTTAATGATCAATTCACCTGCCTGTGTTAGAGAATCAATTGTAATATAGATTGATTTGAATGATTGCTTTTAATCAAATTTTCAATCAATATAGCAGGTGTTCACTTGTTTGTACAGTATATCCATCTTTAGACACCGGGGCAGTGCTGAGGAAGGGGGTCATTATATGATAACTGTACTAAAAGTACAGCTATCCTTTAACTAGAACTCCAGCCACTACCTTTTTTTTTAGTTGGGGATAGAGCCCGGAAGGGTTACACTTAGAACCTCTGTTTAGGTTTTTATTGCCTCTGCATTGCATAGATTTCCCCTTAGTTCATATCCTGGTTGCCACGGGTGTGGAAGTGTGGTAAGCACTATTAGAGACACAGGTGGCAATACAAATCTGACAGCGGGTTTTAGTTCTACCTACTTTCCTAAAAAAAAAAATGTATATGTGCTTCAATCAGAGACATTTTCATTACTTCCTTCCCTAGTGGGCATAGGACATAAAGAAAAGTCTCCCTGAACGACATACAGACTGCAGTAACAGCCTGACATGAATGTAACCCTTCAATCTTTATCCAGAACTAAACTGGAGAGCTGCAGAATCTGAATCGTCAGTTTCTAGGGTATACAATTCAGGGTGTGTGAATCACAAGTGTGACTGAACAGAATTACAAGAAATGTGGCATATAAAACCATGGACATTGAATTGCACATTCCAAATCTTTCATGTAGCTTCTTGCTGCCTTACCATGTGTCTGATAAAATAATGGGAAAGCCCACCCAAAACTGATATCTTAATTGGAGAATAATGGTGGTAGGTAGGAACACCCATTGGCATCTAAATCTCTCTGAGACTCCCACAGACATCTTTCCCTACTGAGTTCACCCTCCTCCCCATTGCAGAGTGTCGCCGATCATGCTTCATTCCCTGGAAATTAAAATAAATTAATATTCCAAAAGGCATTGCAAGACCCCCTTGTAATGGCTGCTCCAGGTGAAACTCAAATGCAGTGGTGGGTGATAGATATGGACACAGCTACTCAGGAAACTTTGATGAAGTGATGGGTGACAGTCATGAAGAGATACTCGGGAAACTCGGATGGAGCGGTGGGTGATTCAGGTCATAAGCAGCTACTAAGGAAACTTAGATGCGACGGTGGGTGATAGAGGTCATAAGCAGATTCTCCAGAAACTCAATATAGCGGTGGGTGGTCCAGGTCATAAACGGCAGTTCAGGTTATAAAATATCAGTTTTGGATCGGCTAAAACTTTAATTTGACAAAAATTTGATTCATGGGTCCCATCCCATATTGAAATACGCAATAAACTAGGTGTGCTGAAGATCACATTCATGTATCAAAAGTGTTTAAAGAGAAATTGTTTTCAGTAAGAACCAATCGAATTTTTGCTCTCATATATTGCTTGTTGGGAAATTGAAGGGGCCTTGTGATTGCTGTAAGAAGTAGGGATTCTTTGTATTCACTTAACTTCAATACAGGAGAACCATTGTAACTTGCAATATTTATTTTAGCATTTGATTGCCAAGATGATTTTAATTTGTCACTGCTTCATTGTCCTAACCCCACATGTGCTTCATAAAAGAAATCTGTGCTTTCCTCAGAGCTAATCACGATACGTTGTAATTGCTTCCATGGCTGCAATTTAACTAAAATATACTAAATAATATTTGTAACCAACAGACCAAGAGATCCACCGGTTAAAGTTGGGAATGGAGACCCTGCTAGCAGCAAATGAAGAAAAGGTGAGGTGGATTAAGTCGAACTCCAGAGGAAACCTTTCTTTCTTTTTGGTTAAAGTGGGGGGAAGTTACAACTTCTGTTGAATTTTTCTTTCTGTGACTCCAATGGGTAGATGTACCCTCACCTTCCTGTCCACTTTATGGGTGTCTGACAGAACAAGAATAAAAGGCATGCTTGTGATCTCTCTTATGGTTTTTTTAATCTCATTTGGTTGACTGGAGTGGTAACTTTGCTTACAATGTGGGCCAAGGAATGAGTTGGAGGTGTGGACTTTCTCCTCCTCTGGCGCTCCTTCTGGCCAATGAAAGGATGTGTGAAAGCAGAGGTAGTTGTTAGAGGTGACAGCTGCTGCTTGAGGTAAGAAAAGGGGGTTGGTGAAAAGAAGCATGGGCTCTCAATTGTCCCTGCATTTTGCTTTTCTATTGCTACCATTGAACACTTGCTGTCCACATATTCTTGCAGTTGCCCATTTATTGACTGTGTATTGTAACCAATGCCTATCTGTTGCCTGTGTATTGCCACCATTGAATATTTATTGCCACTGTAGCATCCATCTGATACCCAGAAGCATGTAAGGGATCCCAGAGTCAGGGTAGGCTGACATTTCACATCAGGGGTGGTTGTGGCATGTGGAATTAGGCACCAGTCACATGAAGGGTTTTCAAAGATTTTATTCCTCCAGCAGCTCACATGGGAGAGAAGGTTAAGGGCTACAGACACCTAGGACGGTACAGACTATAGACTCACTGACCACATCCCTGTTTTACAGTGCAGAAGGCCTTTAAGCTGATTGCAGCAGCACTGTGTATAAAGGAACTTCAGCTGGTTATCAGACATAACACAGAACTTCCTGGGCAAGACACTAGACCCATTACAAGGTCCCAGCTTCTCCGGCACCTCCTGCAGATGAAGTTCCTCCCTGGTGCTCCTTCCCAGGAACAACTTCCCCCTTCACTGGCAGGAGAGTTCCAAACCCCAACACTGGGTCTTGATTGTTGACCACCTGCAGGCGTTTCCCTGAGCAGGGCTCCGGTGGTAAGAGATACTCACAAGGTCAGCCCCGAATATTTATGTTCTCCCCACCATGCACCACTGGCCAAGAACCTCCTAGCGATTGGCCAGGGAGACATACATATTCATACCACAACGTTATTGGATGTTCTGCTCTATTGCAAGGTCACACCCAGCTGCGGACAGATACAAACAACACTGAGCTTAGGGGAAAACAAATGAGCAAAAAACTATTAAATTAGCTTAGACTGGATACTGTCTAGCAGACTAAATGCAAGGAGTCACCCCACTTAGGGCAAGGTGGCTACACTACCATTTCCTGTTTTTGCCACCATTGAATGCTCATTATCATCATTGCCCATTTGTTGTCTGTGTATTAAAACCATTGCCTCTTAATTACCCTCATCTGTTGCTCTTTCATTGTCACTGTTACCAAAGTGTTGCCAACATATTGCCACCATTGCCAGTTTGTTGGCCACATATTGCAATACCTGTGTGTTGCCTGCATATTGCCACACTTGCCCCTATACTATTTACGTATTACCATGGTTTAGGCTGCTTACTATTCACTATTGAAAAAGACTCTAACCAAAGGAATTCTTTCACAGAATGAGGTTATTTTATCTAATGAGCAAATTGCTGTATGTCCATGGGATGGTTGAACTCAGCGGACGTTTTAACTATGTCAACAGCTTTCCTTTAAATTGTAATAGAGACCATTCCCTTTGGCAGCCATGGAGTAAGGAAGGATGTGGCGTCTTCTTTGGCAGAAACTGTCCCATGGAAACTTTTAAGCAATAAGCATCTTTAAAGTGTTCTAAATCCAGGAATAAATGTTCTCATTGCAGCATCCTCTGTCTACACTTGTTGCTAAATTTTTGTTTTAACTTTTATTGTAAGCTGTTGCATCACTTCTGCCTATAAAAGGTTTCTAGTAATGACCTAATAAGTTTAATGCCCAAAGGACATTGTGCCAATTATTCTATAGAATTGGAAGAACATAGGCCTGCAAGATGAATGGTCTTTTATTATATACCAAGCCATACACCGTCACTACTGCACACATTTGTCTCTCTAAATTAAGATTTTAGCCTTTAAAGTGACACTATTCTCAGGAGTTAAATCTTAAATTGCATTCAGGTACCTTAACTATTAACAAAAATGCATTTAATTTGTGTATCACTCGACTGTAGATCCTTAAATCATCTCTGAATGGGTGCTGACACTGTCCTTCCTTCTGGAGGGTGGCTACTTTTATTCCCCATGGGACCTGTGTGTGCTGTAAAGTAGCCACCGCTCCAAGTTCACTTCTGTGATGGATTACAATCTCAATACAAATTAGTAAACTAAACGTGAGATTTTAGTCCATCATGGGAGTGAGTTTTGAGCAGTGGCTACTTTACAACACACACAGGAACCAAGGAGAACAAAAGTAGCCACCTTCCAGAAGGAAGGACAGTATCAGCACCAATTCAGAGATGATTTGAGGATCTACAGCCAAGTAATGCATAAATAAGCTACATTTTTGTTAATAGTTGGGGTACTTGAATTAATTGTAAAATTTTAACTCCTGAGTTTAGTGTCACTTTAAAGTGAACTTTGCACAGGGAGGTAACAGGTCCACCTAACCACTGCCCTCCCTAGTTGCATATACCCTCCCTTTGCTTCTCCACCACTTTCTTTGCCCACTAGTAGAAAAGCAGGTATGGGAAGCCATGACACACCCTCCTTCCTCGCGCAAGACAATGTTAGAGCTTGATGATTGGCTGTTCTGGCACCCAGTGCTGTCACATGGGGTGGTAAGAAAGTCCTCAGTGTATAAGCTCCACGTTATGATTTGAAAAGATAACTATGTACAATTAAGGATCACAGTAGTTAGGAGAACCTGTTGCTTGTGCTTCAAGGGAAAAGCACAGGTTTATTTAAAAAAAATACTCATTTGAATTTGTCCCTTCTTTCTGTGACAGATTGTTAAAAATAATGTAAATCTTCTGCAAAAACTCAACTACAATATAGTTCCTGTGAACCTGCCTAGATTTGTCTGCCTTCACAAATATGTCATGAAGACTCCTTGAGAAATCCTTTTAGACTTAGAAATTAGCAGTCTTAAACTTTATAGTAAATCTGCTATACAATGTTGAGTAAAAAAACGTGGACCCTAATCAAGGTAGCGGCACTGGACATCCATTTCTCATGGGGATTGCAGTAGGCACAGAGAAGCCTCCCCATCTTTACTGGTATGGAGTCATCCACTGCCTACAAGTGCATCTTCCCTTGTGACCAGTGCATGGCTTTGACTAATTGCTCGAACCTTCTGGTGTACTGCAGAGAGGCAAGGTTGAAGCTGGCCCCCCTGGACATCCAACAGGTCCTAGACTCCTTCCCAGGTTGCCTTGTGAAAGATCTGGCTCTGTGAGGGACACTGGCAGAACCAAAGACTGGCTACTGAGAGAAAATGAAATATTTTAAATGAGGACATTGCTTATTATAACTGAAGACTCTCTCTGAACCAGCACGTTTACAACCTTTTAAACTATTTAAGTTCTCAGGTCTCAGAGGACCCCTACTAAAATTATTACACCCACAGCTCATGGTTCATTGCCATGAACTGTAGGCTGTAAAGAGTTTTAAATATAGGAATAAAGATTGGGGAATTGTAGTGCCGTCTACCTCCCTCTCTGCCTTTAGGCGATCCCTTAAGACTCATCTCTTCAAGGAAGCCTATCCCACCTCAACCTAACCACTCAACCATCACGTTCTCAAACACTTTATCCCCACACAGCTACCCCCTCATGTATCACTTGTCTTTCCCTTTTAGATTGTAAGCCCTCACGGGCAGGGTCCTCCTTACCATCTTCTCTTGAATTGTATTGTGATTGTAATGTCTTCCTTATATTGTAAAGCGTTGCGCAAACTGTTGGCGCTATATAAATCCTGTATGATAATAATAATAATAGTACCACCTTACTTTGATGGTCTGTGTTGGCAGGGGATCAATCTGCCATTGTTCTCTTCTCAAGGAATGTCTATCTGCCTTTGGAGGAACTCTGAATGAGAAAGGATTCTCTATATACTATATGTATCACCTTTAGCAGTCATTCAGACCTCGGTTTTAATTTTCTTATCAGATAGAAAACTAAATCCATTATTTATTTGGATTCTTTACGAGTCCCAAATATTTAATATTAATGCTTTTTATTTTCTTCAGGACCACCGAATAGAAGAGCTTACCCTGCTTCTCAACCAGTACAGACGGGTAAAGAACTTTGTGATGGCGACACATGGTAAGTGATGGTAATTCACTGGATAGTTTTTAAAATGTTTATGAAAAAATGTAGTTCACATAAGGCGCGACTCTAGAAAACAAAGCAGATCACGGGTGGGCAACTCCGGGCCTCCAGCTGAGCTTTAACTACACATCCCAACATGCCTCTGGGAGTCAAGCCTGTAACTGTCAGTCTTGCAATTCCTCATGGAAATTGTAGTTCCACAACAGCTGGAGAGCTGGAGTTGCCCATGAGCTAGACTATGCTGGACGTCCTCCAACCAGGAAATCAGGTGCTCTCTATCTGATTTGCTGCAGCTTCTAATGCACATTGAGAAGCTCACAGTGTGCAGTGAAATCAGAGTAAGCATTTTCACTCCAGAAAAGGAACCGGTACAACTGTGCAAGACTGAAGGGAAGGCCGGAGTCTAGCTTTTAAAGATTTTCCTACGACAGGCATCAGTTTAATTTTGCACCAGAATCCCGTGGCTTTTAGGCACACCCACTATACTTCATTTAGCGCCTGTCAAAATTAACAAACACGCCTAGTACTATTAAGCCTGGATGGAAGGCAGCTTGTGAAATGCATTGTTTTTGTTCCTCAGCTTTGCAGTAAACAGTCTGCCTAGGAACGCTTTCCACACTGCATTCCAGCAGCGCTAATTGTGTGTGTGTGTGTGTGTTTTTACTATTCACTGCTGTGACTGTGAGCTGTGAGATTCCCATCCAAAACTATTAATGACTGAGAACTCTACACCAGTCATGGCTAGAATGTAAAATGTAGCTAGCCAAGCTGAATTCTAGGAATGGGACAAAAATCTACACTTTCAATGGGCCCCCTGCTCATTCAGTCTAGGGAGTTAAGGGTTAAGAAGCAATGCCTACCTTACTCTTCTCTCCTGCAGGTTCCCCTTCCGTCCCGTGACTGATCTATCAATTCCTCTTCTCTCAGGTGCACCTGGTCATGGTTACACACTCTCCTCCTCTGAGTACAATGCAGGATTAATTGCACTGAATTGTACATAAGGATGTCAAGGGATCGTCTGGAGCATCAGGGAGAAAAGGAGTGCTGGGGCATCCTGGGTTAAGAGTAAACCTGGTCATACACCAGTAGAATTTAATTTGGAAAAAAAAGGGTTTTTGGGAATTTTTAAAGAGTGAATACAATAGCCGGCAGTGGAGTCACCATCATCTACGCTGTTAGCATGGATGGGGGAACAAGTTGTATTTCTCGTTTCCAGCCCACAAGCCCTGTATCGTCAGCCTAGAGGATAAACTTTAAATCCTGCATGGGACATAAAATAATCAAAATATGGAACAGGGATAAACCAATATATAGTTGAAATGAGGCTTTTTAGGTACCAACCCACAACAAATAAAAAATCTTTATTTAAAAAATGTAATTAATATCTTCTTTAAAATCAGTAACTAAAACATTACATATAAGTCTGTATTTGCCATCATTGATGTAAAGTATATACAGACACTTCTCGGTATACGATGGGGTTACGTTCCGATAAACCCATCGTAAGCGATCGTATTGCAAACCAGGGATTTTTTTTATAAATGAGACACATCAACACTTAATTATAAAATACAGTAGGGTTTTGTCTATGTAAAGGTTACTGTAAGTGTTTTAGTCAAGTTTAAGGTAGGCTAGGCTATGATGTACTATACAATATATATATTAGCGACCGCGTGACAGATTGAGGACCCTGTGAGGGCCCTGCTGCTGCTATCATATACCATCGTAAAGATGAAAAATTGTAAACAGATTCATTAGAACCTGAGGAGCATCTGTAGTTTGTCCTCAAAGTACAAAGAATACCTCCATGGGCCTCTTGCATTAATATACAAATAAATTCTTTCATATTCCAAATACTTCGTAGTCCACACATCACAGATATATAGTGTGGCCAAGTCTTCTACGTGTTTCACATGTGCTTCTTATTAAAAAGTAGGTCACTTTAGACAACTAGTACTCCTAACATAAGCGTTTCATGGTGCAAGGATCCACACACTTAGAAAAAGCACCAGTAAGTCACCACCAGAATGCCACTTTTAAGGAGTGCCCAGAGACACCAAGAAGGGTAGATAGACTTCCGCCTCAGGGTCCCGGTAACAACCAACTAGCTTGAAGAAAAGAAGGACATTAACTGCTTCTAGCCATGAATATACATTTCCTCCAAACACTTATATCGAGTATTCATCCTAATGGTTTAATATTGTGGCCACCAGTCAGTGGTCCCTGTTTCCAACACCCCTCCGCTCGCCCAGGGAGGTATTCTTTGTACTTTGTGGACAACTATATACTTTACATCATTAATGGCAAATACAGACTTTTTTCTATGTAAAGTTTTAATTACTGTTTTTATATAACATATTAAACAAATTAATTTTTTAGATAGAGATTTTATTTGTTGTGGGTGGGTACCAATTCAAATATATATTGGTTTTTCGCTTCTCTATGGGGGCATGGTACCATATTCCTTGATGGTCCTTTTTCTTTTCTGTACTAAAATATGGAACAGGAAAATCTGTAAATATCACATCAATAATTAGACATTAGAACTCTCTGAGAATATGCAGTAATTTCTCTTTAATCCTACTCGGTCTTCTAAATGCAAAACAGAAACCACATTGAGAAATGGCAGCATTCAGTTCTGATCAAAGTTTTATAGTTTTTGTTTCAAGTCTAATTCGGTTAACAATGTATTCCAGGCTCTTCAGAGAGAATTCTTTCTGCCAGCAGCGAGGATGAGGTTGAATCGACAATAAAGAAATTGATGCCAAAGAACAATCAGACGACAGAGCTCCTGCAATCAGAGGTAGTATAATTTAATCTTGTGCTGCAGTCTCTCTAATGGGTGTCTGGCCACATCGGCTGATCTGGTTAGAAAATCTACAGCGGGGTTGCAAATATGATTTAGTTTGTGGTGGTCACAGCGCTTATATTGTGACTTTGCTTTGGCCAAGGCTGTGAAAACCTATTAATATAAGTTTGATGGGAGCCCTAAAGCTGTATGAAGTTTGGTATTGCTAACTTCACTTACCCTTAAAGTGTATCTAAACCCCAGAACAAAAAAATAAACATATTGCTTATTGACAGATGTGAGTTACTGGAAACCAGCTAACTCCTAACAGCCTATCATCGTCAGCGTTGCTAGACTCTGGCATCCAGGGCATGTGCCCCGGGTCTTCTGCTGAGTGGCCCGGGTCTTCTGCTGAGTGGCCCGGGTCTTCTGCTGAGTGGCCCGGGTCTTCTGCTGAGTGGCCCGGGTCTTCTGCTGAGTGGCCCGGGCCTTCTACCGGTGCCCCAGGTCTCCTTTGAAATATGAAGATGAAACATTTTATGCATAATGCAGTTTTGCCACATTGTGTAATTTTATCTACTTTTCAATTATTCCATCAATATTTTTTTTTTAAGCATCACAAATTAGAATTTTATTTCAGTCATGTCATCATAATGAGACATTACAATTTTTAGAAAAATAAATTTTTCTTCAGTTAAAATTATATTAGTCTTAGACTTTGGTCAGCATGGTATTCTACCCAGCCCTTAACATTTTAATCATCATCAGATCTGCATTTTGTCAATACAGTATATGCTTACTTTATATTGCCCAGGTTTGTGACCGCTTTACTTAAAAGCAGAGCAGACAGATTTAATTCTGGTCTGGTTCTAATTTGTATGTACCCTGTAAGGCAGAGATGCTAACCATCTTTAATGTTCACTAACAGTTTGTCCTGAACATCTACTTCTGTTTCCTAATACAGGGATCTTCCACTCTGTCCTCGCCAACCACCCCGTCATCCCCTCCACAGAACTTCCTGGAAAATGGGTAAGAACTCCTAATACAGGTATATGTCTACAGGGAGTTAAGAAACCCTTCCATTAGAAAAGGGGGCAGTCCATGTTGCCAAGGAAAGTGAGACCACTGGTGGTGTTCTGTTCTTCCAGACCTGGTTGGAGTCTGGGGTAACCAGGTGTAAATGAACGCCCATTTAGACTCGCCTGCTCATAGACTAGCATTTGGAATCCGATCGGGTCTGCCTGAAAAACTGACAGGTGGACACGATCAATCAAGTCCTGAGAATTGCACTCCTCTGACACACAACATAGCCCTGTCTGGCAGTGCAGAAGACCAGCTGCAGTTCAGTAACAGGCAGGGTCATGCAGGGTGCAAGCACTGGCTGAGGTGGCCAGTTTTGACCCCCTCAGCAACACTAAAATAGTCTATGCACGATGATGCTGAGCCTGCACAGTTAACAGGCTCTGCATCTCTGAACAGATGTGTGACAGGCACAGCAGCTGGGTAGGGAGCTCAGTAACACTAAGCCTGTGATTTAGCATAGGTTTTGCATTACTGAGCTGCATGGATGGTGTGTCTGGTATGGACACTCCAGCCTCAGTGCCGCCTTCCCACCATGCCTACATGGATGCAGCCTGAGAAGGCCGCCACAGCTGTCCTCAATGCTTACAGGTATTGTCCCTCCACCTGCCGATAACATGTAATAATCAGCAAAAGGGGAAAGAGCACACCAGCGAACTGTCATTCAACTCTTGTCTCCCATGCTTCTTGCATTGCAGCACAGCTGGCTCCTCTTGTGCAGCTTCACCCTCTCTGTCTTTTTGTTCTGCTGTACACTGATTGCAAGATGCTGATATCAAATTGAAGTCAAATATGGCGCTGCATTAATTTATATTTTATATTAATTGGAGTTCAGCTTTAAATCGTGGAATGATAACATAGATTGCTGTGGTTGCTCTGATTATTTTGGGTATGCTCTTGAGGCATTATATCTCGTTATATATATCTTGTTGTTGGGCAACAAGCCACATGCACAGAGCAATAGCTCCAATCACAGTCTCATTTTAAAAAGTAAAACCCTGAAGTTCACGTTGGTGGTAACAGCACTTTGCCTACCACCCTTACACTTTTCATGGTTTTTAACTTTTTTTCCAGTTTTTCATTAAACCCTGTTGTGTCATTTTATTTGGCTTTACATCCTTTTTTATGCTTCTGAATAACTTGGCTCAGGCGTGCATTCCCTTCTGAATCTGGACTTAATTACTCCAGTTATGTGCTTGCGTCTTGCATAATGTGTCTACTGACCGTTAAATACAACAAGCACTATGGTTAGGAATTTGTCACCAAGTAACACAGTATTTTAATCATCATATATAATTAATATATGCCACTCTAGTCTTTATGTATGAAAATTGACACAAACAAAACCTTGCTGCCATTGTTCTCCATACATCAGAGTGTACCTGGAATTAGGATGGTCAGTGTAGTCCCAGCACACTTTCTGTGCTAAGGTGATAACACTACTCCTCCATAGATGCAATGAGTGTTGTCACCCTCGAACAGCAAGGGCAAGTGTCAACAGGCTTCGAAGTGCAAATGCAGTGAGTTTTTGACATCTATTTGAGACATTTTCTGAGATCATTCAGAATGATTGCAGGTGCATTTAACATATGGTTAACCAACAGTTCACATGCTTCGCATTTCTATAGATTTGTGTGGCCAACTGTCATGATATGGGGACCTCAAGTGCTGCCCCTGACATAACTCAGGGGCCACACATAATATTCAGTAATTGGTACAGCAACTGGTAAAAGACTGTGGGCCTGCTACAAACGATGGCCAGAGACTGAAAACTTGCTGTAGAAGTTGTGGGGAAAAGCTTTAGGAGACATTCATAGACTGTGGACAGGTTTCATAAGACAGATCGTAAAAAAACATTCAATGAGATTATGTGAGATCACTGCTATTACTGCCTCTTTACAAATCAAGGATTTTACACTTGTGTTCCCTACACCCTCTTTAAGGCCCATCTCTGGAATAAAAAAAAAACTCCCCTTGGAGTAGGGCTACCCCCAAACTTCAAGGGTTAACTGCTGGTGTTTGTCTACGGGGTTTCTGTAAAACAGTTTTACCTGATCCCCATTCCTGCTAGTTCCAAGACCAGTGCCATTGTTTGGAGGCCCACCAAGGTCTCTTCATACAATGCAGGGTCTATAACCTTGTATTGGATGTGAGGACACCATGGGACATAACACAGCCAGGGCATAGAGGAGAGAGGTAAGCAATGACTGCTGGGGAAGCGGGGATCAGGGAAGTAAATGCGCCTTAAAGAATCCCCTTAGACAAAAAAGCTGGCAAATACTGTATCTTTTGCAGCGTGGGGGTAGTCCTACTGCAAGGGGAACGTTTTTTTTGTATCCGCAGATAGGCTCTAAGAAAATGTTGCGCCACATTTGATCAAGCATAAAAAAGAGAAAAGGGATAGATGACAAAACAAGATAGTGTGCAATAGATAAAGCAAGCCATTTAACTACTAGAAGCATATCTAAAGAATGCTTTTCCTTCACCAGCATGAGTAAGCACCAAGGTAAGGAAAAGACAGACTAATGTCTTCAGGGGCCCAAAAATAAGTGAAAAAGGGCCACTTGGATTACCAGGTGAAAATAAGGAACATTTGGCAGTCATCACATGTAAGGGTTGGTAAGCTGCAATGGATTACATATTTTTATTTCTTGCTTTAGCTACACTTTAATATAACCGATGGTTGTCTTTTTAATATCTACTTGAGGTTCATGTTTTAAGCTTTTACCATAGAAGCTAACCAGGCCTATCTGTCACCAACTTCTTCAGGTTTTCAAAAGTCCTTGTTGACTTCTTCAGTAGTGCATCACCAGGGATCAATGGACCGTTATATCTCTGCCTATTTGTTTTGCTGTAAATACTGGAAACTAATACCTGAAATATTTATTTGTAGTATAAGTACACCGGGCCCTCCAGAGAATCATAGTTCACCACAAGAAGATCATTCAGAACACAGAACGAGGTGAGAAAGTCTTTTGGTATTTCATACTATGGCCAGTGTGTGTATGTGAAGAGATGATTGTACTTTTCGCCTTCTCTTGAAAGCCAATAAAAAGTGACCTTTTAAACTTTAATTTTCATTGTTTAGAAGCCATCCAAGGAAACTTTCCACTAGTTTGGAAGATTTACAGAGTGGAACGGTGGAAAAGGTAAAGACAACTTTGAAGCTGTAGGATTATGGATTTTGGGGCAGCGGTTTTACTTAAAGTGAACCTGTGACAAACTCTAGCAATTAAAACTGAGCATACGATCTCAAAATACATAAGCAGTGGTTATCGTTAATGAAAACCACATGTTACAATGGGTAGTAAACCTCCAAAGCTTCCCAGTTGATCAGTGAGACTACCCAACATATTAAAGTGGGGTCTGAGATATGAACAGTGAGTGTTGCCAAATTTGCTTTGTGAACATTAAAGGAAACCTGTAATGAGAGAAAACAGGTTGCTGACCTAAAAAAGCTAGTTGGTTGTCATGCTGACCCCCTGGCTTCAACATGGCCTGCGGAACCTACCCAAAACAGGTCCGCAGATCAAGAAGTTTGGAGAGAAGTCCTTATCTGCATGCTTTTTCCAGGTCAGAGATTCAAAGAGTTGAAGTCAGAGGGTCAGCAAGACAGCCAGACAGCTATCATGTTCAAAAGGAGAGGTCAATAATGACAGCCTGTGTGTTCTCTCATAGGTTTCCTTTAAAATGTGTGCAGGCTGCAGATCTAGTCCTTGATGACACAGCAGCCCTTAGTCCCAGTGTCGTTTTCCTGCACAGGACCTCTTCCATGAAGCATCTAGTACATCCAATTATTGAGGCAGATTAAAATGAACTTGTGCTTTTCCTGTGCAAGGTACAGCAGCTTGTTCACCTTAATGCTCCTTGTCCCAGCAGCACATATTCCCCATTTCCTTCACTCCCTAGCTGCTCTGTTAAGCCCTTGGGAAAGAGGAAAGGAAGCCGTGTGCAAGCACCAAGTCACTCTAGTCAGAGCATACACAGGACGGAGTTTTTTTCCTGTGCTCCCATTGGCTGCAAAAGGCAGTGAGGGAGGGTAGAAAATGTGCCCGTGCTGAAGATGTGGGGGAAGGGGGAATTTGGAGGTATTAAAGTGAATCTGCGATCAGGGTATGGACATTCATGTCCTCTGTAGCTGCAGCCACTGTGGAGCAATTCATTCTCAAACACTGAAATCATTTAATTCATTCTCACAGCAGCTCAGCTCGCTATGCTCTCCCTCCTAGCAGTGACTCTGCATGCTGTCAGCCTTCTAACGACTAAGGTAAATACATAGCAGGAGCCCTGGCAGGCGAGAAAAAAGGACTTGAACAAGTCAATTGCTTATGCTATGAACTTTTGAGGATGAATTGCTCCACAGGGGCTGCAGGTACAAAGATCAGTGAGGGCTTGTTTTAAAGCTGAACTTCAGATTGCAGTAAAAATAATTCTTGCCTGCTAGATCAGTCACGGCTTGCTTTAAAGCTCATTTACTGCTTTTGAAGAATATGTGAATACTTCAATGTCCATATTCTGGCCATAGATTTAATGCAAGGTGAACCTGTTCCATTTGCCCGCATGATTTAAAACACGGGTTTGCTTTAATCTAGGCATCAGAGTCTGCAAAGTCCTTCCATACATCCGTGAAATAATAACGTAAAGTCATTTCTTTCAAATTGCTGATTTGCTTGAATATTTCTGTGCCGATTTACAGCGAATCACACTAATCGGGAAGCGAGGCAATCATCATTTGTATGAGACTGCGCAGATTGGACAAATATATATCTATATATTCATTTGCATTTTCAATTTCCCTGATGTGCAAATCAGTTTGCTCATCACTACTCTCTACGAAGTCAGTCACTACTGTCTTTCATTTATTATAGTGTGTACGTCCGTGTGTGCTGGGAAATGGGGGCGTTGTATTGTGATGTGATGTCTGTCGTGTGCCAACTAGCAGCATGTTACCATGTCTTCATTATTCTTAATAAGAATGTAGCTAATAGATATGTGGACACATTGTAATCCTTTTACTCTTGACCTCAATCACCTATACATTGAACAGTTACCTGTCTGCAATAATGACAAAGATCTAATGCCACTAAACATATACAAGGTTATACGTAGAGGTGTCATTATCTGATATGCGGCAGGGACTGAAGGGAGAAGTTTCAGGACTTGGTCACACCAAATCCGGACCAGATCTGCATGAGTTTCTACCCATGCAGTGCAGTGTGTTTTTTGCCGCGTTTTTTTATGATGTGTATATAAAGCAAATGTCAGACTATATAAATACCTGTAATAAATAAATGAAGTTACATTGTATGCAATGCCTGGTTTGTAACGGCAATACCCAGAATCAGATATTGGCACAGGCAGGCTTCCTGTTCTCCAATAGCCCTACCACCTGGGTTGTATTTTCCAATCTGAGCAGTTTATTAGTTAATTATATCCCCAATCTTTTTTTCTGGAGTTCACCTTTAATCCCATTTGCTGCGCTTGAGGTCTTAAGGAGTAAAAGGGTTGAATGCCACTGAAGTCATTGCACCCAGGCATGGAAAACACAGCGATGTGCCAAGACATCCCTGGGGACTGTGATGTGTGTAACGTCTAACCATTCACATATATTTTATCCGCACATTGTACTAACAGATTGTTTTTGTCACTTTTTCTTCATTCTTCCTTGACTTTGGCTAGCATGATGATGGGGAAACCCCAGAGCCTGTTGTAACACCTGTTGTAACAACGGAGGTATATTAACTTTTTAAAACATTGTTGTCTTTTTATTTATTTTTAAGTCTCTTTGTGTTTATTGTTGTATGTTTGTTATTTTTAACATAACCGTTAAAGCTCGACTCCAGGCATTAAAAATGTCACATTAGCCCCAAGCCACAAAGGAATATTAATCCATTCTCTGTCCACTGAGCCCAAATATTTTTTTTAAAGTAGCAGTGACCTCATCACTGTGCTGTATGTAGCCTGTGCGGAGAGCAGAGCTGTGGGAGGAACCAAGCAGGCCCCACCCACTACAGGCTGCCTGTAGAAAATACAGGAGGGGGCGGAGACAAGACCACATCACCCTGCAGAAGGAGAGTGGGCAGCAGTGACGGGTCTTTATTACAGGAAGCTCCTGCACAGAGGTAAAGCCCAGGAGTAGTTTCATGCTGGATCACTGCACAGATCTGGAAGAAATACACCAAAAATGAAACTGAGATTAAGGAAAGACTACTCATGGTTCTTGTGTGACGCATAATATTCGTTTAGCCTGGAGTTTAGCTTAAACACGTTGGACAACATGACGGCTCTCCTCTGATCATTTGTTCAACTTTATTAATGTGACATTGACACTTCTAAGCTATAACCCTCATGTCACGTTCTGATAGATCAGGGGTACCCAAACTCCAGCCCTCCAGCTGTGATGCAACTACAAATCCCACGAGGCATTGCAAGCCTCTGATGGATACAGGCATGACTCCCAGAGGCAGATCCATTATGGGATTTGCAGTTTCACCACAGCTGGAGGGCCAAGGTTTGCCTACCCCTGTGGTAGAGTATGGTAGGATAGCTGCAGCTGGTCAGTAGTTTTCAGCACCAACCTAGAGAATTAATTTCTTTTGTATTCAAAACTGAACTTGAGCAGATCAACCCCTGGCACTTCCTGTACAGCAGAGCTCAGAATAGAAGATGAAGTAGCACAAGAAGCCAATCAGTTCTATAGCAGTAGAGGGAGCATGATGATAGGAGGAAAGGGCAGAGCGACAGAGAGAGGAGCTCATCAGTCTTCTGCTTCTCCTTCCACCGTCCAGTCAGTGTGGGCATGGTGAGGAGACCTGTATGTGTTATAAATTCATTTTGCAGGTATTTTGCAGCAGCTCTGTTGTCTTTATTTAGCTGTCTGAAATTCAGCTTAAATTCTTTCTTTTGATGGAGCAAGGACGAGTTAGATAGTCTCTCATGATTTTATTGTGTTCCTGTTGTCCTTCATGTCCGAATTTTTTTTTTTTTCTAAATTGTAAGACTTTTGATTGTGTCATGTGGTTTATTTTCCATTTCTTAGACACTTCCTGTATGTAAAAGAACAGTGGGGAATTATTTTCTATCTATACAATTCCCAATCCAGATTGTAATGTGTATGGTGAGCCTCAGACATAATCCAGGCAATCTCTCTTTATTACAATTTTTGGAGACGGTGACACACTTGTTCCAGTTTTTCTGGGGTTGCCTCCATTGCTGTCATCTGGAAGGGAAACAACGGTCTATGCACATGAAAGACTCTCATATTAATTGCTATTCATTTGTTCATGTCAGAATAAAGCCGACCCCAGGTACCAGACCCTCCCCGGAAAACTCTCTCACGCCACTCCAAACGGGTCACATGACAGCTACAGGAAACCTGCATCCCAGAATGCTTTGCACATCAACAGTGAAACAAACGGAATACAGAGTTTATGTAAGTAGATGAAAATCTGTTCTGATCTCATTATTGTGAGCTTTGTGTTATGCAAATCATATCCTTAAAGAAGAACTCCGGGAATTAGCCAAATTAATCCTTAGAGTTGAGCTACCCCCGCATTGCAAGGGCCAATTGCTCGTTTTTTATGTCTAGGGACCGAAATACAGAAGATATACACACCATATCCTCAGTCCTGCGGCAGTCTTCCCTCACCTCTTCCCCCCTCTGTTCCGGCATCCTCGCGTCTAATGCAAGTCAATGGACCTGCATTAGACGTAATGACATCAATGTTTCTTAGACCAACGGAGCATGGAGAAGAATAGGCTGTTGGGTCTGGTCTAGAAGCCAAGTGGGATATCTTCTTTAATCCAGCCCCTAGACCAAATCGAGCAGTTAACCCTTGCACTGCAGGGGTAGCCTCACTGCAAGGGTTCATTTGGTTAATTTCTGCAGTTCTACTTTAATAAAGGGGTCATTCACACCATTTGTGTTGAGCTTCGTTGACCTGCAGAGATCAACGCACAAAAACACCCTTTTAAAAATCACGCGGAAACCACGCTGAACCGCTGCTGCCCTGGTGTGAATGGGACCTTAGTCTGATAGGAAACATAAATATCTTTATTATTTACAAGTCCTGATATCCTGCCTTTCAACATTTCTGGGCTTCACTGTTTATTTGCTTTCTTTTCTCTTCCTTTTTATGTTTCTGAATTCTCCACTTTTGGCTTTTTCTTTTACTTTCTTTTGGAAATTGCTTTGAAGATTTCAGCAGAAGTGCCAGCGCCCCGGTAATAGGTACGGTACCTGTGGTGGCTAACACAGCATGCGTGTGGCTTTTACCCAACCTGAGGGTGGCTTAAGGCAACTGCGGCCCTCCAGCTGTGCTTTAACTTCAAATCCCAACAGGCCTCTGGGAGTCATGCCTGTAACTGTCAGGTTTGCAATGCCTCATGGGGCTTGTAGTTGCACAACAGCTGGAGGTCCAAGGTTGCTCACCCCTGGCATAGAGTGATGATGAGATACATAGCAACAAATCAGAATTTAGTTGCCTGTACACAGTAAAAAATTATACCAGTCCCAAGCCTCCACTAAGCTACACCTCTGACAACCAGGTTTAGGTCTAGAGCTCATCTCTGCTTCCTATACACAGAGCCAACCACTCAAGCCCCTTTGTTTACATTGAGCTGGCCACAGCTGATTGGGTGTGCACTGACAGCTTTTTTTCCAGGTTCAGATGAGCTTGGATTTAGTCCAAGCCCAAACTCATCCCTAGTCACAGCACAAATAGAGGGCTGCATCTTCCCAGCGGGGACCCAGACAACAATTAAAACTTAACTCAGGGTCTAACCCTTTCCCACTGTTTGACCTTACATCCATTTCAGGACACTAGGAATATGTGGTGCATGGTTAAATGTTTTTTTGTGTTGGCTTTGATTTTCTGTAGCCAGTTTTGGTATACAGAAGATTTCTGATTGTTTGCTGTGAACATCATTTGCCTACTAGAATTTCTTGGCCGGTATCTTCTAGAATTAAAAAGGAATTTGTCCTGTAATCTTTGTTTATTGGTCGTATTCAGTAAGACAATTAAGAGAGCATTGAGGCTATGCAACGACCGGGATCACATAACCGCATTCATTTCTGGCTGTGTCATGAGCAATTTATTGTGTGCATGTAGAACAGCCAATGGGTAATAAATGGGTACAGTTAGGGCTGAGCTTTAAAAGGATTTAGCTGATGTAATTAAGGATGACAACATCACGCCCATCCTAAATTACTAGGCGATTTATGGGCTCGACCTTATACAATCCTGGCCGTGATTGTGCCTCCTCGTGAGTCATATGTTACTTATGTGTTCATACATTGGCATTTAGAACTACACAAGCCATTTTGGCCATCTATTATTAGTGTTGGTGTAATGTTATTCTAGAGAAGAAATCATCATGGAATGATCGTTGTAGAAGCTACGCCCCTTGTGTCATGTGAATATGTCAGTAAAATGGTGGAATCTTACTCTCTCCTTTTATATTCACATCTCCTTTTAAACTGCAGACATCCCAACTCTCCCGGACTTTCCCGGGAGTCTCCCGCTATTAGATAGCGGCTCCCGGACACTCGGGAGAGGAACGTTTTCTCCCAGAAAGGTTTACTCTGCTCGATCTAGCAGAGTAAACCTTTCCCTGTTGTCTGCTGTTTTTTTTTGTTTGTTTACTCTGATATCGGCGCCGCCGTCAAAGTAAAAAAAAAAAAAAGACAGCATAGAAATGAATAGCTACATTGCCACTGGCTATTTGAATTTGCAATAGCCAATAGCAGACTAGCTATTTCACCCGCCCACTGCTGCTGTCAGTCAGCAGAGGTGGACCTGATGTTCAGCAGCAGCTGTCAGAATACTAAAAAAAACAAAAAACAGCAGATAGCACGGGAGACATTAGCTTCTTTGCTATCTGCCATCATTTCAGTGGGGCCAGAGGGCACCTCCCTGAAATGAGAAGGGCACCTCCCTGAAATTACTTTTTTCAGGTTGGGATCCCTGAAACTGTACAGACCACCAAAGAGAGAAAGAAGAGGTGGTTATATTTTTTCTGAACTGCAATGATTCTTCTGAATCCTCTCAATATTCCTTGCACACACTTCCCTTCTATGGGTGATTTGCTAAATGTAACACAAATGTCCAGAGTTGGTCAAAAGAGGGCAAAATTTGAATCTGAGAAATCATTAGTAGGAATCCCTGCTGCTGGCTATTGTATTTAGCAGCCACTGCTCCAGGTATTGCTGAATTCCCAAACAGTACCTGTGTCTAAATGGCAGCAAGCACTGTTCAACCACCTGCCTCCTTCAGTCAAAGCTAGTAGTGGCGATAGGGCCACACCCAATCCAAATTTTCAGCAGGAATCAGCAAACATTTGAGCTGTGGGTGGTCAGCTGTAAACTGCGAGCAAATGGGCAATTATTGCTACTTTTACTGTAGCAGGAGGCAAACAATATTTAGTGATCATTACTCATATAGTTGCACTTAGTAGCAATTACCCACACAGATTTGGAGCACTGTGCAATCATTAGGAATTAATCGCTACTGCATGCTGCACTTTCTTTAGTAAGGATGCATTTATAAAACGTTCTCAGAGCCGTTCGCTCTGCGAACATCTGACTTATACATTGGCACCTTATTATGGCCACTAGATGGAGCTGAGGAGCATAGGACATCCTTTGCTCCTCAGCTCCATCTATTACAGTGGTAACCTCAGGACCCACATTTGTTCTTAGTCATTAAGTTGCGACCCAAGTCGGACTGCAATGGAACGCACGGCATTAGGGTATCGTGTGTTCCGGTGAGGGCGTACAAACTGTGGGTGTGAGGTGCATTCGAATTAATGGCAATGCAACACACCTGCCACACCAGAAGGCATGATAGGTGCCTTTTTTTTTTCAGGTCCTCCCAGTTTACCCTACCTCATGAGAACCGGAGTGGATCCTCAGCCTGGGGTCCAGTGTAGGCTGCTGTGCTGTGATGGAGCTCTATCATATGTGCATTGCTGGTACAGCTCTCTTGCGCACCCTGTAGAAGTGTCGGGAGCCAGAATGTGAGGTCACCCCGGTCCAGGCACCTCTACAGGGCACGTGAGGGAGCTGTAAGCAATGCACATATCGATAGAGCTCCCTCGTGGCCATAGCCCCATCCTATCCCACCTCAAGCTGACACTTGGAACCAGGCAGCATATTTTGAATGGCTGCTTGGCGCAAAAACTGACAGTGCTGTCCTCATTTTGGCATCCTCATTTTGGTCTTCTGTCTGACCTTACTTTGGAATAAATTTGCATCTGGGCTATTCATTTGTGGTTCTTCAGTCTTAAAAGAGATGATCACAGCACACCAGGATCAACTTTATCGCGCTGTCTTTATTGACGTTAAATTAACATGGTATCACAAGAAAATGCAACGTTTCAGAATCACATATGGTTCCTTCAGGTAGAACTGTTTTGCCTGATGAAGGAACTGCATGTGTCTGAAACAATGCATTTTCTTGTGATACCATATTTATCTAATGTCAATAAAGACCGAGCGAGAAAGTGGATCCTGGTGTGCTGGTGATCATCTCTTCTATATTAGGTCTATTTGAAGCCATACACTGGGCACCACAGCACCCACTGGAGTGTCTTGAATTTGGATACCGGTCTGGAATGGGATGAGATATCTTACATTTGTGCTTCAGTCTTAGGCCCAGCAATACAAACCTGAAAGGGTTGCTAACCCTTTCCCTACTCTATTCAAAACTTGAATAGAGTAGGTTTAATGCAAAAATATTCTGTTTACCCCAAAAAATATATAAAAAGCTTGCAATGTTTATATATTTTAACCAGTTTTAGTATTTTTGATAGTAAATTTATTTTCCCTTTTTCTGTCCCTGTTGACCCCACTGACTGCTGTTTGGTGCCAGTGCCAGTGGTACTTGTATATTCCCTCACCGTAGACATTACTAAGACACATCTCTTTTTAGGGTAGGTGTTGGCTTTCACTTAACAAGGAGTCATTGGCAGTCTCTCCCTTTTCTCCGGCCAGACATTCCTCACTTAGGAGTCAGTGAAAATCAACCTCGTTATCGCAAGGCTACAGTGTCCTGTGTGTAGTCTGCCACTTAAAGTGATAGGCTACTGAAAAAATGATTGCATCTTTGTGATAACAATAAATTGCTATATTGATCTACGTGCCTGGCAGATCCAGGGCCAGCAACCCTAATCATTATTTGTATACAGCACAAGCATTTAATGGAGTGTGTGAAAGCATGTACACAAGGAATGGTACCTAATAGGAGGGGATGGAGAGAGAGACCGCAGTGTTTTCTGTTGTTTTATAGCAGAAGTCATCAGCCCTTTGCTGATAGTGAAGAGATATAGGAACAAGCTGTCCCTGAGAAGTAGCTTCCACATTCTCAAGCCAGCTATGGGGCCTGAAGAGACAAAGGAGTTGCTATAAGGCACTGTTTTCTTAATGTAAAATGATGTTCAGTACGGTTGCTGAGAAGGGAAAAATGGATACATTCCCAATGGCATGCAATGGTACATTGTGCTCGAACATTAAACCAACATTTTTGGAATTTCAGTCTAAGGATTCTGCACTTAACATATTAATAGATGATCTCTCTTTATGATGCACAGGTGATACTGAGAACAATCTGGACATCACATTTAATGACCTCTCTGGCACGGACTCAGGCCCGCACTCCCCACTCTCTCCTGATGGCAAGAAAAGCCCAAAAGGCATTAAAAAGTTTTTGGGAAAGTAAGTGTTTTTTTGTTTTTTTCCAAAATCTCTCCTTGCTCATAATCTTTCCCATTACACTCTCTTTCTGCCTTTTTGAATAGACCAGTCTGTGTTTTTTTTTTTCTTTTTTAATGCAACACACCAACCCGGAAATTATTAGACTGAAAGCCCATCAAATACATGCACGCATGTGATGCTGTAGGCTGCTTGTATGATGTGATGTGATCTGTTGATTGCTAGATTATTAGAAATGTTGACGTCGAGATTAGCCCATCAAATGAATACCCAGCTTTTGTGTTCGGTTTTGGATGAAGTGGGGAAGGGTTAGAAACTCCTCAGGCTTTATTGCTGTTCCTGCAAAGGAGATGTTCCTTCTCTTATCCTGGTGATACCATAAAACACGAGGTGTCACAAGGGCAGTAAGTTGGGGGGTGTCTTTCCAGTGGGGATAAAGATGCTGACTCTTCCCTTCTTTATCTAGAACAACAACAACAAGGGATTTGTTGCATGGGGGCTTTAACCTTATTCTTAAAACTGAAGTGAAGTTTAATCTGCTAATCTGCTCATATTTTGGCTTCCCATGCCCCCCCCCCCCCCTATCAGGATGCTAATGATATTTTTATGTAAAGCCTTTACATTTTCATTATATGCCTATTGTAGGCCCACTGACTTTATCATTGGGTCTCTGTGCACCGCCTAGATCCAAGGATCCCCGCACCAAAACTAGGTAACTGTCCCAATATTTTAATTATTTTTGAGCAACCTTACTAGATACAATGTAAAGCAGAACTAAAGCCATATTGGGTCCCCAAAGTATTTTCCATAATATGCAATAGTTTTACCATAGGGCAGACTTTGCCCCATCCAGCAATACAAGGTCCATGCTCCTATTTGTTGCTCACTTTGCTGCCGCTGTCATCTTCTGGTCTCCTGGCCGAGCCTCTTCTCTCCAACTATTTGGTGGGAGACTTTCCCTCACTTCCTGTTCAGGCAACAGCTATGGGACAGAACAGGAAAATTAGAACAAATCATGGAAACAGACCGCATTTAAAACCTGACAGAAAGGTTCCCTCAAGGAGTATCATTTTAGTGTTTAAAACCTGCCAGAGCTGCTGTCCCTTCCCCATATTATCCAAAAGAAATCCACAAAAAGTTTTGACTTGAGTTGTGTTTTAACCAACACAGTTATGGCAAGCAGCAATCACATCCGCTTTATTGTTAACAATAAGATAGGGATGTACCAAGGAAAATCTTGCTCATTGTGAACTGTCTTTTCACATACTTTTTCAGATTAAGGAGAACCCCATCAGGACACTTTAATGCAGATGATGTTGGGCTTTCTGAATTTAAAAGAGGAGGAATGCGTGCAACTGCGGGACCAAGGCTTGCTAGATCCAAGGATCCTCGCACCAAAAATAGGTAAGCTTCAGATACACCGTCTAGTTCCAAAGATCCCCGCCCCAGAAATAGGTAAGCTTTACAAACACTGCCTAGATGAAAGGATCCCTGCACCAAAAAATTGAAGCATCACATACACTGCCTAGATCCAAGGATTAAAGATGCGTTCCGGTGCGGGCAGAAAAAATGCTGCATGTGCTATTTTTTTCTGACCGGATGGGAACGCATGCATTGATGTGCCACGCAGGTGCGGGCGATCGCACTGCGGCCGGGGGGACATGGCTGCGGTGCCATTGACTTCAATGCACCTCCATGCCCCCTCCCGCCCCAAAACAAAGTGAGCTGGCCGGAATGCGATACAGTGTGTTCCGGCAGCAATCGGGCCGGAACGCACTGGGGCTGGTGTGAACTAGCCCTTAGGCATTTCCAAATGAAAATGAGTTAAATTATAGCATACGGCAGGACAGAACTATAAAAGGTAACATCAATGTGACACTTTAGGTGGGCTTTACCTTAAAAATCAAGGCAAATCTTTGTTTTCATCTTTATTAGTCCTACCCGTAATCAACATTTCTATTTTGTGTTGGCAGTGACTACAACGCTCCTTTTGCTCAGTGGAGTAATGAGCAGGTCTGCAACTGGTTGGAAGACTTTGGTCTGGCACAGTACGTCATGTTTGCCAGGCAATGGGTGAACTCGGGTCATACCTTACTGACGGCCACACCTCAGAGCCTAGAAAAGGTGAGACAGTACCATTTAAAGGGAATGGACTGTATATTTTTTTGCAATGATTTATAGATATACATAAAGTCGTATTAAGCTCTCAAACATTTTTTCAATATTCAATCCAGATCAAACAAATATACATTGGCCAGCAAAACAAAGTACATAGTCATAAAGTTTCTGCACTGCCCAGCTCTCTCAGCTCCACTTCCCTGAACTTCCTGTCCAGTATAAGATCGCTAAGCGACCACAAAGTCTCTATCAGCTGTCCATGTTCTAGTTTGGAGAATGGAGGAGAGGGGAGCAGAGAGGAGGAGAGTGATTTGTGTTTGTGAATACACACACAGATTACTAGCACACAGTAAGGGCAGGCTCCATAGGACCCTGCAAGGGAGAGTAGCCACCCTAATACAAGATATCATGGCCAGTGCTTAGGCGACCAGATGATTCTACAGGAAGCTAAAACTTTTAAACATCAAGGAGCAGCACCTGTTTCAAGTGATTTAATCAACATTTAAAATGGCTTAAAACGTTTGTCGTTTTTAATATCACTTTAAAGTAAAGGAGATCAGCTCAATGTAAGCAGTCATACCAATGTGTGTGTTAATGATTTAATAAGCCTTGTTTCTACCCATGGATTGTAATTATAAATGTACATGAGGGCAGACATATTTCCTTATTACATATACAGGATCTGATTCCTGCCTTGAAGTGCTACACGTGGATCGTGTAATAAGCTGGCCACACACGGTCAGAACTTGGCCAATTCACAGGAATCGTCTGAAATCCTAACAGTGTCTGGCTCTGCCCGCTGGGCAAAAGTTGATTACTCGATCAACTTTTGATAAAGAAGCTGGGCAGAAAATAGTTGGCTGATAAGTAACTGCAGCCAATTAGCTGCAGCCACTGTTTGGGTATTCTGACAGGGGCGGGTGCTAACTGTCATAAAACAATAGTCCGGCAGGGGGGATTGTCTGCGCACGCTGTGCAGCGTGCATGGAGAAATTTGTTAATTTCTTTGAGGGCCCAGTCACACTGTATCCAGTGCGTTCTGGTGCAGTTCAAGCACGGAACGCACAGGATCGCATGGATCAAGATGGGCAGCATTCTGGGGCGTGTCGGTGCCATTCAGGAATGCCTTTCATTACAGTGCAGTGCATGCAGCATTTTTTCAGATCGCACTGCACTGGAAAGTAGGGCATTCCTGTACCTCGCGTTACGGCGCGGGCGATCGCACTGCAGGCTGGGGGCCTGTCTGCGGTTCCATTGACATGAATGGCACTGACACAACGCTGCCTGGTTTGATCTATGCAGTCCAGTGCGTTCCGGGCTCGAACCGCACTGGAACGCACTGGATATGGTGTGACAGGGCCCTGAAAGAAAGAAATTAGTGTATGGCCAGCTTTATTGCTCCATCCCATATAGAAAGGCTATGAGTTGGCCAACTCTATTAAACCAATGCACACTCCATGTGTGGTTGATAAATTATCTCCACAGCTGATAAGCATTTTACAGATTTTGGACATTTTAATATGCAAAGAAATGTAAAATAGAAAAATACTTTAAGTAGACTATATTGCCTAAATGCATAGGTAAAAAGAAATCACCCTGTAATAAAATAAAGATAATGTTTATCTGTACCGCCCCCATCACCTGCGAAGCTGCGGCAGTTAAAGAATCTTCTGCATCCAATGCTCTGGGTGTTCCGGATGTGTGCATCCCCCACTGTGTGCTGTAGTTTTGGCACTACACCTATGGTGTGACTCAGCAGGTGGAACCACAGTACATAGTGAAGGAATCCGTCACTTCCAGAAATGTGTTGGATGCTGAAGAATTTTTGGCCAGCTTAGCTCTGCAATACAGTGGAGCTTGGAGGCATTGGCGGCTAGACAGGTAAGTAAAATATCTCTCTTGCTCCTTACCTAATCCCCTGCTCCTGCAAGTTTTAAGCCCGATGCCTCAGTCTCTTCCCACCTCCGCTCCGGCGGTTGGAGGCCCGCTGCCTTCATTACATCCGATGCAGGGCCCATAGCATTATATGTTTGGAAGCCGAGGTACAGTCTACCAGCCGGAGTGTAGCGGAGAGAGGTGAGCTCTGATTGCTGGGGAGTGGGGATCAGGTTAGTAAAAGATCTTTAAACCAATCCCCTAGACATAAATGAGCAGTTAGCCTTTGTAGTGCAGGGGTAGCCCTACTGCAAGGGTAGTTTTGTTTTTTCCCCCCTCCCTGGTGATAAGGGAATTAAAACCAGTAAAACCGCAAAGTTTGTGCTCACTGAAGGTACTTTCTAAAGAATTCTAATAAAAGATGAAAGGTGGTGATATATTTTACATTGCTCTTTTCCTTACAAAACAAGTTTAATATCATGTGACCAGTATTGTATCTGCATAGAAGGGCCACTTATGTTTTATTATTCTTTTATTCTAATTAAAGGAACTTGGCATCAAGCATCCCTTGCACAGAAAGAAGCTTCAGCTAGCTATTAATTCCATCAACATGAAGAAGGAGGACAAATCGGGGCAATTAGACCACATATGGGTGACACGTAAGTGCTTTTATGTCTTTTATGGGCTTTGAAGCTTTGAATGCAATTAATCTCTTAGACTAAGGCTTCCTTTTTACACCAACAGGGTGGCTCGATGATATTGGCCTGCCACAGTACAAGGATCAGTTCCATGACGCTCGTGTGGATGGAAGAATGCTACAGTACTTAACTGTGGTAAGTTACCTGGTTTCCATTTTCTTTTCAGATAATTGATTAAAGAGATTGTTGGCTTTGGATGTATGCATTCCCCATGCGTGCCTCTTCATTGTTAAAAGTTCAATCCACTTATTTTTGCGGGATTTGGGTTTTTACATGATCGCTCACTCTAAAAAAGCTGCCTCCTTGGAGCAAATTTATGTATCTGGCGGTCAAATAGCTTGAGTCAGGGATAGCAGGATGTTGTGTAGATAATTGACCTGCATTTCCTTCTTGTTCTTAGGAGCTTAAAGGGTCATTAAACCCTCACGTTTTTTTGCATATATCTACTGCCAGCAAGCAGTAGATGTATGCAAAAACTTAAAAACCTTTTGAAACAGGTTTAAACTTACCTGTGTCTTCACCTCGCGCTCCCGACCGAACATCTGAATAGTCTCAGGTGGCCACAAAGGATCTTGGGGCGGGCGCATGCACACTTCAGATGTTCGGCCGGGAGACGAGGAGAGACACAAGGTTAGTGTATGGAGCAGCGTGCACCCGCACAGACACCGTGGGACATCATAGAAGAGGAGGACAGAGGAGTCAGCGCTGGATCAGAGACCCGCACCCAGCGCTGGAGGGACAGCTGAAAAGGACAGGAAAGAAGAAGATGATTGAATAAAGAGATATCATTTAAGGCAAGTCCCTACAGCAGAATTGGGAAGGGGAAAAAAATAAATCTGACTTTAATGTCACTTTAAACTGAACTCCAGATTTCCCTTCAGTCTTGCACAGTTGTACAGGCTCCTTTGCTTACTTTGATTTCTCTGCACACTGTGAGCTTCCCATACTTTGCTTTAGAAGCTGCCACAAATCATGTAGAGCCCGCTCCATTTGCTGGCTGCAGTACATTTGCTGGCTGCAGTAGTTCAGCTTTCATGCACACTGCATTTGGTAACGCCCATATGTGATGGTGAACCTAAATGATTGAGAGAACTGAAATCCAATGAGTGCTTTCCTCCCCTGTCTGACTGTCCCTGGCCCACCCCTTTCACTCATTGGATTTTAGTTCTCTCAATCATTTAGGTTCAGCATCACATATGGGCGCTACCTAATGTAGTGTGCATGAAAATGCAGCCTACCTAGGAATGCCTACTCCTCAAGACTGACTTCAAGGCATTTTTGATATTTCCAAAACTTCTTTCAAGAGCCAGCCCACTATTTTAGGGCCGAGTTCTCTTTAGAGAAGCACTGAGGCAGGTAGCTTTGATGTTTTCAGTGAACGTTCATTTTAAGCAGGTAATGCCAAAAATAAACATGTCTCAATATATTTTTTCCTTGTTTGAACATATTGTTAGAGAACACTACATTTTGGCCACTACATGGTGCTGAGGAGCATTGGAAATAAGAATTTATTCCCGATGCTCCTCAGCTCCATCTAGGTACTATAATGTAATATAACACAACAATACATTCGAACTGTAAAAAAAATATATTAACATTTAATTGTGGCATTATTCAACCAAAACGAATGTTCACAGATAATCGCAGGGTGAAAGGCCCTGTGAATTGTTTATAAATAGACCCCATAGTGTTCTGCATTTGTATAAGTTTGAGACTGAAATGATATTGCATTGTGCTATCCACAAATAGAAATGTATATAGCCATCCTTATTGCCGTGAAGTTTAATTTGTGAGTGCTAACTCCAAAGAGTGACCGACAGCAACCAATGAGAATGAAGTCAGCCCAATACAAGATGCATTCTGATTGGCTGATATAGGTTACTACTTTTAGGAATAAAGTGCTTTATGGGCTACAAAAAATTTAGTTTATCTGTTTATTTCCATATTTTTCAACAAGTCTGTGAGCAGCGTAATACTATCAGAACTTCCTCTGCCCGGGAATAAGTAAACTGCCATCCATTCTATTTGTGGCACCGTAGGGGTCTGTTCTATGCCAGTGTAAATATTTTGCCTGGCAACGTGTGATAAGGAACTTCAGTGCTGGAGACAGAAACTGATCCTTTCCTGACAAGATCCAGAGACAGGTGCTCCTGGTTCAGTGAAAGGGCCATTCCGGGGTGGGGGGGGGGTTGGATGGAGGAAGTCGAGGCTTAAGTGCTAAAATAGACATGTGGTAATGCAATAAATGAGCTTCATACAGGCAAGAAAATGCAAAAGAGGAAGTTAAAATGCTTCTCTCTGAGCTTGGAAAATAAACTTGAAGCCACGCCAGCAAAAAGTTAAAGTGGACTCTCAGGCAGATTATCATATAACTAAATATTAACTCTAAATATCACGCTGGATAAAATATAGGTGACATTTATAACTGTTGTATGATGAAGTTAAGTAGGAACAGATGTGACTTAGAGCAGAGTTCCTTTACCCCTTTTCAGTCACGGCACCTGGTAAAAGTATGCACCCTGGGCTAAAAATGTCAACGCAAATGAACGATGTGTGGTCCCCCAAAATCCATATTACACCCTTATCTTAGATAGGAGTCCAGTATGGAACCTCATGCAAAAAAAAAAAAAAACAAGGTGGGGTTCCCCTCCACATCAGAATCCCTCCTCTTTTACTTCAGAGACCCCCCTCTTTCACACCAGGGCCCCCCCTTTTATTTAATAATGAAAACAGTGCAGTTGCAGCAGCATTGTTTTCTCTACTGAATGCAAATTGTGTGAACTGCCCTAAAAGCAGCTACAGATGTCATTTGATGGATGGCTTTAAAGCTTTTAGTGACTGTTAAGAATCTGTAAATCGTAAAATGTCCATAGCCTGGGTACAGGTGCCCTTTAAGAACCCAGAAACAAAACATGATGTTCCATGCTATTATCATTTTATACAGTCAGCAGTATGCATGCTCTTTATATGGCTGTAAAGTGCTGTAGAAAATGTAGGTGCTATATAAATAAAAGGAATGTTGCTACATGGATCCCATATTTCCCCATGGTAATATTTTCTGCTCTGTATTCCAGAATGACCTTCTCTTCCTAAAAGTGACCAGCCAGCTGCACCATCTCAGCATTAAATGTGCCATTCATGTTTTACATGCAAATAAGTTCAACCCAAACTGCCTGCGCCGGAGGCCAGCTGACGAGGTATGAGTGTATAGTCTTTTCAATGTTTTGCTTTTTTGGTTTTGTTAGATATACAGTACGTGTTATAGCTGAACTCCAGGCACGAAAACATTTATTTAAGTATATTGCTCTATAGCTGCATAGGATATAAGTCGACTATGTGTGCACTAAATGTCTATGCAAACCCAACTACTACCTTGAAAAAGCAGTGATGACATCACCACTGTGTTGTATATAGGCTATGTAGAGAGCAAAGTTGTGGGAGGGGCCCAGTAAGCGCCACCCATTACTGCAGAAAACTACAGGAGGTGGCAGATACGAGACCAGTCACCCTGCACAAGGAGAGAGCAGCAGTGCCCGGTCTTTATTACAGGAGGGGCAGATACGAGACCAGTCACCCTGCACAAGGAGAGAAGGCAGCACTGCCCGGTCTTTATTACAGGAGGGGGCGGAGATAAGACCAGTCACCCTCCACAAGGAGAGAGAGCAGCAGTGGTCGGTATTTATTACAGGAGGGGGCGGAGATGAGACCAGTCACCCTCCACAAGGACAGAGAGCAGCACTGCCCGGCCTTTATTACAGGAGAGGGCGGAGATGAGACCAGTCACCCTTCAACAAGGAGAGAGAGCAGCAGTGGTCGGTATTTATTACAGGAAGCTCTCACATAGAGGCAAAGTATAGGAGTTTTTTTCATACTGGATTACCCTCACTGCAGGCTGCGGATTCATTTGCTGGTAGGGGCTGGCTGATCTAACCACAGGGAGAACCAGGCTTCCGATATTCCTGGAAGTGTCAGATGCTGACGAATCTTCAGCCACTGTAGCCCTGCTAAAGAGTGGAGATCTGTGGTCTGATTGGTGAGACAAAAAAAAACCCCATAATCCAGTACATCTCCGCAATACATGCATGTTTTATCCCTTTAAAGATCCTGTCAGTACAGAAAGATAACTGTTGATCTGCCAGAAATGAACTCCTGAGTCCTCACAAAAAAAATATGAGTGGTGTCATCCCTACCCCAGTGTCTTTTGCTAAGCTACTTGACCACGACCACTCCCACTCTCGGATATCTTTAAACTCCGAACATAAAGGCTAATCATTTTGTATTCCATGATAAGAACTAGGAGGGCACTTTGAGATGAGGACAGTCACTTCATTAGAGCAATGATTGGATATTATGCATTTGCTCCCTCTTGTGGCTAATCTGCAAATTGCTTAACTTAACATGCATAAAAACATTCAAAGTGTAAGTTCACCTTTGAATTACTCTGTGAACATTAAGCAGCCATATAACACATGCACCTTGATAAATGTGCAGCACCATGTTTGACTCCTGTCTGTGCATTGGATTTCCATGAATCAGCATAGGAAACTGACGGCTATTTACCAGCAACACTATTCAACTCATGGCATCCTCTTTGCTGTCTTCGTCTTGTGATTGCAAGGCCTCACTGTGAAAAGTTTCCTCTGTGTCCTGATGCTGACGTAGATAGCACGAGGGGACCGAGCAACATCATGAGTTGGATGGTGTCGCTGGTAAATAGCCGGCAGTTTCCATTGCTGATTGCTGGAGCACAAGAGTACAGACAGAGGCAAACCTGCTATGCATTTATCAATGTACATGGGTTATATGGCTGTTTAGGGTTCATAGATCAACTGTAGGGTGAACTTCCACTTTAAGAGCAATAATGTAAAATTGTGAAAGGTAAGCTCTGCATTATTAACCCAAAATATGTGGTCATGGAAATGCATTGTACTTCCCCTTTAATAATAATATATGCTTGTAGTCTTTGCTTCGACTCAATTCCGTAATATTTCCGCCTTTTTCACCTGGGCAGAATAATATCTCACCATCAGACGTGGTCCAGTGGTCAAACCACAGAGTCATGGAGTGGCTGCGATCTGTAGATCTGGCTGAATATGCACCAAATCTTCGGGGCAGCGGCGTTCACGGAGGCCTGATTGTAAGAAAATGAATGTTGTTTTTTTTCTATTTCCTTTCTTAAACTATACAGGAACTCTTTTCACTATTCAGATTAGTCCACCCATTTTACGTGATAGAAAATTATATACAGTTGCTTACGGTTCAGAAAAACAACTTTAAAGAGACCCTGTCTTTTTTGTTTTTTAATAGTTTAACAGGTCAAATACCTTGTTAATTGATTAGTGTCTCTTTTTCTTGCATCCAAAATACATTGTTTGCTTCTGGGTGCCACCATCTTGGCTTCACCCAGCTCACTTGATTTTTTAATTGACTTTTCTTTAATCTGCTTACAGTGACTGCATCTAATAAGACATCTAAAAAGATGCAGTCACTGTTCAGCAGCGCCATTGGATTCAGGCAGGGGCTGCACCCTGAATACAATAGCTGGCAGTGCAGATTCCACTATCCATGATGTTTGCAGGAATGGCAGAATCCATAGACAACAGACTGAACAAAAATGGAGCCCTGTTTTCTTTGCTTAACGAGTCTAACCCCCCCCCCCTCCTCCCCCCTATCCTTGTTCCCAGGCTTAATGTGTTAAGAGAATCTGTAAATGAGAGAGTAATTAATGAATTATTCATGGCATAGTATCAGCTTATGAATAGATGGTTCTGTCTCCGCAGATACTAGAACCTCGGTTTAATTCAGACACCCTCGCCATGCTGTTGAACATTCCGTCGCAGAAGACACTACTCAGGAGACATCTAGCCACCAACTTCAGCTTGTTAGTTGGTCCTGAAGCTCAGCAGGAAAAGAGAGAGATTATGGATTCCACAACCTACTCACCTCTGTCCACCTCTGCCAAAGTCCGGGTGGGTTATTGTGATAAAGCGCAGTTGATCTATTTCACTTGTGCCATTCTGGATTATTCTGTTTATTTAAAGTGTGTTGTTTTTAAGGCTGAAATACTGGTAGCTGGAACGTCATGCCGAAATACATTGCCAGTTAGGTCCCAGGTTGGCATGGGAACCCCAAAGCTTGGGGTGCTCTAATATGAAAATTGACCAACCTGGCTTGGTCATGATCTGACTTTCCTTTCACATGTCCCAGTTGGCTACTATGTGGAATAGGCAGCCTTACTGGTAGGTGGCTTGGTGAATGGTTTACAAAAAGTGGAAAGCGAAGTGGGGTTTTGGAAGCACCAAAATGACAACTCCATATGACAATAATGCGTAAAAATTATTAATTACATTACATATTAATTACATGATATTAGTTTAAAAAAAAGCTCATAGCCAATTTATAAAAGCAACCGGCTGAGTAGATATGTCCCTATAAGCTCATTCCCTTTACCGAAAGCCTTCCATTTACAGTATAGATGTTTTAGGAGAAAACATGATTCACATTTTGATTGGTAATTTATAAATAAACATGATCAGGGTTAATTCATCAGGTGTCAAAAATTCATGAAAATAACATAAATAGATAGGTCTGGAAACAATGCTAGGAGGGCTTGGGAGTGGAGCAAGCTTTTTCTCTCCACTAACACCGCCCTACATGCAGAGTATGACCATTATAGCAAACCATGATTCAGATATACACACATACATTATTGTTAGACATGATCTGGGTTCAACATATAAACATATAATACATGATCTGGTTTTAAGGCAAGTAAAGTCGCAATATAATGCAGGTAGCATAAATGGTAGTCATGTGATCAAAAAGTTATTACTGTTGGAAGGATTAAGTGTGGAAGAGCGGTTTTGGCGTACGGCGGTTAGTGTGTGTTAAAAGATAAGTAAAGCCAAACCTTTTTTGGGCTTTTCTTCTGTTTTGGGTCACAGGAGGACATTTACTATTACTGTCTTCCTGTGACCCAAAGTCGGCTGATAGTGGGCTAATGCTGATGGCGCAAAGCCACGCTGCAGGTGGGAGAGATCCTGACAATTTTTCCGATCCACCTGGCTGCCTGATTGACAGCTGGCTCTGCCTCTCTAGAGCTAGAACAAGCTGTGCTCACCTCCTCCCCTCTCTGTCCCTCCAATGAGTGCTGAATGAACAGAGAGAGGAGAGGGGGAATCCCTGCAGGGGGCGAGACTGATAGTCATTGCTCTCTGCAGGGAGAAGATTGTGAGCTGAGCAATCAGCAGTTACACAAGTGTTCAGTTCTTGATCTATAGAGCTGGCGCATGACAGCTGCAGTGTCCCACACCGGCTCCAAGTATTCGGAAGAGTATATTTTACTATCCCAGTACTTCTCATTTAACAAGCTGACATAGTAGCCAGATCAAATATATATTTTAATATTCTGTGTAAGCTTGTTTTTTTCTTTACTCTACTTATTTGCATTTCATTGTTTTTTTGGGGTTTTTTTTTTTTGTACTAAATTATATTTTGTCTAATGCTTATCACCACATGGGGTCTGTCTACAGAATGCCCACAGACACACCACAGCACTCCTTTGCAGCAAGCAAAGCAGCATTTGGGCATGTTCTACAAAACATATTGAAGTGATTGCATTTTAGTGAATGACATTGTAACACACAAGCACAAAAGCAATTACCTCTGGGCCCATGCCTATAAACGATGCAGCTTGGCCCTTTCCCCATTGCACCAGTGAAGATGTCATTATGATATGTTTATTAGCATAAAGAAACCTGCCTACTCACAAATGTGTCATATTTTGCAAGGCATTGTATGAATGATAGTTTTTAGTATTTATGAATGAGTCTAACGAATATGCTTTTTTGCATGAACGCACAGTGGGATTTAGCTATGTAGCTGCAACTCTGCTTTTAATTATAGAAAAACAAGTTCTTGGTATACATTTGTTAACAATTAAGAGGTAGCGTTCTACCTACAATAAATAACCATATTGTGGGGATAATAAAAGTGGAAGTGAAGGCAACCGGCAAGATTCACAGCTGGAATATGTATGTGTAAAGTGTCCTGGCAAAAAGCAAAAATTCAGTTAGTTTTCTCATTCCGAAAACCCTGGGACAGCAATGCCAGCTTCTGACCTCACATTTCTCCTGTGCACTTAAAGCAATGCAGCTTGTTCAAGGACCTCTACATGGTATGATTGGCTACTGAAGGAACAGCAACACATTAAGTGAGCCAGACCTGTGCTTTCTCTATTGCACTTCAAGCAGTACAGCTTGGTCAAGGACCTCCCCAGGACATGATTGGCTAGTGAAAGGACAGGGACACTAAGGTCAGACCTATGCTCTCTCCTACAATCAACCAGTTACCTGTGTTCTGTACAGTGTAGTAAAGTATGATTGCCTTACCAGCTGCCCCTTCCATTCCCAGGACTAATATTAACAGGGTTATTCACAAGAGGGTGAAGGGTTTGGAGAAGGCAGGACTAGTGAACAATATAGGACAACATAGCTGATTTGGAAAAATTCTCCAATTCAGCTCACTTTCCAGTTCAGCTATGTTGTCCTAGATTGTTGACTTCTCCTGCCTTCTCCAATCTCTTCACCCTTTTGTGAATAACCCTGTAAGACTTACTAAAATAGTATTTTTATTAATACATGTATTTGTGTTTTTTATTCGTACAAAATTGGGGTAAATGGAGGTATTTTATATCAGACTACACTTTTGCTTTAAAAAAACAGGTTTACCTTTCTATAAACTAACCCTAACCCAGGGGTGGATTAATTAATAATATGGAATTGAGGAGCCAGTTTATCCAAACCAGGAGCCAGCAGTATTTCATTTAGGTGCCTGCTCCATGGTCAGCAACTAGAGAACCTCAAAAGTTAGGCACCAGATGTATTTCTTAAGGAGCATTGGCTACCTCTAACTGGCTCCTAGGATTGGTCCAGCCTTATCCCAACCCTTCCCCTGTTCATAAACCCCTAAAGCTAATTTTGACTAATCCCCCACCCCGCACGCACACACACACACACACTTACCTTAGATTTCCATCTTAAGACTGCACAAACCATTCTTCTTTAGAATATATATGCTTTTTATGTTCAAAGTACAATGTGCCATTTCATTCATTGATACTCTTGCATTTTACAGCCAAAGAAGCTTGGACTGTCCAATTTTGGCCACCTCCGCAAGAAGAAATTTGATGACTGCACGGACTATGTGTGCCCAGTGGATGCCAGCTCGAAAAGTGAAGTCAAGGCTCCCAACAACAGTCCAGTAAAAGAGGCTGACAAACTGGAGCAGGTGGGCAGACTAATCTGATGGCATCTGCATTTGGCATCAACCCCCCCACCCCACATACATACACCTCTTATTGTCATCTGTGTCTCTAACCACGTTTCGCCATGTAACCATCCAACCGTCTTTACCAGCATGGCTTCACCAAAAAGACAGACTTTATTTTTCGTAGAAGTAATCTATATTTGAGATTTTTATATGATGCCAAGCATGGCCTGGCGCTGGAGTTGCATCATAGACAATTTACCAATTTTATACAGAGGCTGCATTTTTATCTGCTGAAGAAAATTCTAATTTAACTGCAAATATTTAAATACTATTAAGATTATGAACTGTGTAAATATTGGCGGCGCATTGTTATATGATCATTAGGTTTTATCAAAGACGTATGTAAGAAAGTGAGTTTTCAAATGAAAATGTTACATGTACAGTATAAAAAAAGACTGCTAGATGACTGACTGATCACAGAAGATGCAATAAATGAACATTATTATTAAGTTATGTAAACATTCCATCTCCTGGTATAATTGTATTGTCATCCTTCAGTCTAACCTGTTTGGCATGTATTGTGGTACATACAAATAGTTCCGTCTAACCTTCCTAATTTACGGTTGTCAACTGTCCTAAAATTTGTAGCAAGTCTGTAAAAGCTTATCTAGGCTTAAAAAGAAAAGATTCACGTATTGCCTTTTACCAGTCCTGAGATGTGGTGGCCGCATTTGTTTTTTCCTTTATTTTTAACTAGTTATCCCGTTCATTTCCATATACAGTGGTACCTCGGTTCACAAACGTAATCCGTTGCACGATTCTGGTGGCGAACCGGATTGGTTGCGAACTGAATCAAACTGTGATCAGACCGCGATCTCGACTAGAGGAAGCCACGACCATGTGTCAGAGCAGGGAAGATTGCTGCGGTTTTGTTTGCCACCCGATGCAGAGTTCACGAACAGAAGCAAAATTTTGCCGAACTTCCTGTTAGCGAACCGAATTGTTCGCGAACAGAAGCGTTCGTGAACCGAGGTACCACTGTACACTTTTTTTTTTCTCTACTGGATCTATGAGGGCAACCATTGTTGTCACACAAGCTTGACTTCTGCTTAAGTTCATCTCTATTACATGGTGGAATGGATCTAATTGTTTACACAAAAACTATAAGATTATAAGTGTTTTTTAGGCTTAGTGCCTTTCTTAAAGGAGAACTATGAGGTGAGTGATTTTCACTCATCCTCATAGTTCTAGCCGACCTGTGACAATGAAACTGTCACAGGTCGGCTCAGTAGATCAGGAAGTGAGCGAACACATACAGGCGCTCGCTCACTTCTCGATCCTGTCACTGCAGAGAGCCGTGACAGGGGAGGGACTGGATTCCACCCTCCCCTGTCCGATCCTCCAGCGCTGACTGGCGGAATGGACGGGGGAGGGGGGCGGGTACAGCTAGCTCTGCCTCTAGATAGGCAGAGCCAGCTGTCACTCACGCAGCCAGGTGGATCCAGACAGAATTGTCTGGATCCGTTTCAGCTGTGGCGTCTCAGTATACCGCGAGCTGTAGCTCGCGGTATACTGAGCTTAGGGTGACGGGAGGACACAAACTAGCGTCCTCCCATTACCCTAAGGAGAACTATGGGGAAAAGCCCTAACCCCATAGTTCTCCTTCAAGCTTTATTTTCAGCTTTCAAGAACATTGCATTTCTGGCAAGGTCAATAGGTCTTTTCTGTTCTTGCCTTCTTGCCAAAAATGTTCTTAGCCTGAAAGATGAAAACGAATGTTACCACATCGAAGGACTGGTAAGCTGCAAAATATTACATTTTGATGCGGGACCCCCTGCCCCCCCCCCCCCCACGCACAATAGAACAGCTGGTTTCACTTTTAAAATA